CCAGTTTCTGTCCAAGTGAATTGGTAACTCTTTCTCTTTTACCACACCTGTGAAAGCCCTGAGTTGGTAAAAAACAAACCTATTTTTGCATGGAAAATAGAAAAACTAGAATCTGCAATTGGTTAAAATATGTGCATTCTATCTTTCATTTAAATAGCACCAATCCAACTAGAAAGCACTCGGTTGCATATGGTTAAAACAACAAGATACACAATATTATATATCATCCTGTTTTAAATGAGCACTTCTTAAAGTCTTTGTTCAAAGCTTGAATGGAAAACTATTGGTAGGTTTCTTCTGGGATGATGTTCCATAGTTATGGGGCAATGAGAGAAAAAACCCCCAATGCTAAATTATGCTAAAACTTTATCTAGAGTAGATCACATGAGAGAAATTTGATAAGGGCTTTCAGATTCAAAACCACATACTGTACTTAAATTACACCATCAAGTCAAGAAGCAGATAATATAGTTGCTGCTGGACTAGTTTTGCACGATCCCAACACTCCACCTCAGAAAGAATATCCACATGGAAAGCACATTGCAACCTCCCAGGTTGTCTAGAGTTTACAGAAGTATGGCTGATGGCTAATATGAATGTAATTTCTGGATGCTCTGCAACTAATAAGAAGCATTTCTTGTGAGCGGCTAAACTTCTGAGCATAGGAAAGAGTACCTTCAAGGTGGTGCTTCCACACCTGTTTCATCAGGAATTGTCAGATCTATTTCTTGTGGGTCTTCAGGAAACCTCAGAAGATACGGAAATACTTTACTCACCAGTGAAATTCTGTTCTCCATGAGTGGAGAAGCCCAGGCTCTGAGGAAGAAGCCACCTCTGGGGCCAAGAAGGCAGTCTCAAACCAAACTTCCTGGACGAAAGTCTCCACTTGGAACTTCCAAGAAATCAGATCAAGTAGGTGGTCCTCTTCAATGTTGCTAAACAAACAAGAGCCTTGAAAGTAGCCAACCTGTGGAAGAAAAGGACAAACTGTGCCTGCCTAACCAATTTTCCTGAAGGAGGCTGTCCCCAGGTTGGGCCATGTTGGCCTCCTTCACTTTCAGAGAACAGAAATTCATCAGTTAGTAAAGAAGTTCCATTATTTCCACAAATGCAGGAGGTCAGTTGGCTTTGGGGATATGAAAAAGCAATGTATCCCTGGGCAGGTCACATGTTCCTCCTGCTGAGACAAAAGAAGCCTCTGAAAAACACATTGCCAAAGGTACCCTCTCCTGAGCCTGTGTGATCTATCTTACGATGTCTGTAAAAGCATGTCCTGATAACCAATTGGCTGTCCTTCATATCTCATTGTGTTTTGTGTTGTTGTTGTTACGGTTCTTGTTCTTTGGGTTTTTTTGTTTGTTCATTGTAAGCCATCCAGACTTTTAATAATGGAACAGCATAGAAAAACTTGAAATGAAATGAAATAAATTCTAAGAGGGCTCTTCTCCAAAGGCCTCTGCATAGGTTAGCACAATGCATTCATGTAGTCATATAGCCAGGGAGGCCATGGATACCTTCTTCTGAAGAAGGTCTGAAGGACATGACTAGCAAACTGTGCTGCCTGTAAGGCCTGGTCCTTACCGAGAGAAAGTTTACCTGTGCACCTGGCATTCAGGCAGTGAAATAGTCTTTCCTGAAGGGAAGATAATGTAGGCGGAAGGAAGGAAGGAATTGTCAGTTCCTGAGCCCTGTTAAATAGACCTTGGAGACAAAGATAGCATTTGGGTGGAAGACCACTTTGTCTTTGTTAGAAGGCACACAGGTCTCTGTCAGAGCAAAGGGTTCCTCATTCTGTAATTGTTCCAGCTGAGCTGATAACAACCAGGAAAATTGTATTAAAGGTTAATACCTTGAGAGAGGCAGACCCTACTGTTTTGAAGGGGGTCCTGAGCCCCGTATTTGGGTTCCAGATGGAGAAAGTATGGACAAGAGGTGGACTGATTAATGAAACTGCCCTCAGAAACCTTTTGACATAAGGGAAGGTACCCAGGGGGTCTGTTCATATCACTCAGAGTGGAACCTAGGTCTGCATCTTGTCTCCTGAGGGTGTTAGGCCTCAGGCTGGCTGACAGACCCACCTGGAGGAACTCTAGGGTCACTTCCTGAGGCATAGGACCATACCAGGAAGGTGTGCTGTGTATGGTCCTATGTGTATAGTCTTTGTTAGTGGACTCACTCGTGGAGGCTAGGAGGGTTGAGATTGGCAAGAATCAGTGCCCAAAAAATGTCCCTTTGAAGAAGAATCTGTTCCCAGATTTTTTTTTTCTAGTGGTCGGAAAAGATATGAGGCCTCCCTCTGACAGGGGAAGATGGAATGTCATGCTGAAGAGGGTTTCTTTCTCTGACAGGAAATGTCCCTGGGGACCTGGCTTGCATCTGGTATCCTGTTGGCATCTGTGCTTGGTTACCTCAGAAAGACATAGGTGGTTTTCTTCTTCAAGGTGTTCAGTCTTGCCTTATTCTTGTCCTTGGTTTCCAATAGGATCTTCTCCAATGTTTGGCAGATCAGAAGTTTACCAGTGAGGGGAACACCTGCCATGTTGGACTGGGCATCCACAACCCAGTTACAAAGTCAGATGTTTCTCCTCACAACAGTGCTGGACATGGCAGATCTAGCCCCCAGCTGGAAGGCATTCAGGGTGGCACCTGTTGGAATGCTCTCCACTTTGCATACCAGAAGGTCTGAGGTCCAAAATAAGGCATGTCTCCTAAAGGAAAAGGCAGTTGCCATACATTTTGAGCTGCAGTCAAACACATGGTGCTCACTTTCTAGTCTAGGTGCTTTGGTTTGAAATATCATCACAAGGCAATCAACAAATAATGCTACTGACATGTAGGAAGTGATGTTAGGTTAGCATAAATGCCTGGTAATTGGCCACTCTGAGGAACAGTGCAATTGCGGAGTGAATTTTTTAGCTAATCACATCTAAATTTCAGCCCTCTGCACCAGTGAAGGAGAAGTGGGTTTTATGTTTGGACAAAGCTTTTATTACAGAATTGGAGGCAGGCTTTTGAAAATGAAGACATGATCCTTCTCTTGCCCCCTATGAAGACAACCTGTATTGCAAGACCTCGGTGGTAGAATGAAGGATTTTGCCCGTGTTTGTTTAATTATATGGATTAAATTCATGAGAATTGGGATGGCAGCTGATGCTAGGTTAGAGTGTATCTATTGAGTCCTATGTTCATGACAGGAGGCAGTAGAACTTGGATTTCTAGGCCAAGTCTCATTCTCAGTACTTGTTCCACATAGGCTCAGATTATCGTTTGAAGATGTTAAAAGATGTTGATAAAAGATGATGATAAAAGATGTTGATCACCTAGTGTGGCATCCGAGAAAGATCTTGAAGGTTGAATGGAGGAAGCAGAAGAGCCAGAGCAATACTTGTCTCTGCAAGTGTGAGGAATCCAATTTGGCAGGAGGAATTATCAGATTTTCTTAGTTCAGCTCCCCAGACTCTGCCCTTTCTCTTTGCCCTTAGTTTGTCTCACACTGAGCCTTTGGATAGGTAATCCAGCAGGAAGTGAGTCCAACTACGTTGACGAGGCTAGTTTGCAGGCTTTGTGTACTTTTTGCAAAGAACTCCATTGTTTGCACAGAAAAGGAGCCCACTAGCATTCCTGAGCATGTCTAGACTTGATCTAAGCTTAGCTTGCTACCTGGCCAGGGCTCAGCATAGGAAAGAAGTACAATTAATGCAAGAATTAGATTCCAACAGTTTCTTCACCTCTCCAGGTTGATATTCCCTATGTCAGCAGCTGATACCCAGAAATGTTCTCCATGTAACTCAGGGAAATTAAAGAAAGGAATTGATACAGCTTCTTCCAAATGGAGGCCAAAGCAGTATGCAATATTCATTTTGTGTGATTCTGTTTACACCTTTGGTGTTTGATCCTAGAGGAGGAAATGCTCTCTTTTTCTTGGCCTATTTAGTGAAGGCTTTGCAAGTGGGAGCAAGAATCTCCTTTGAGGGCTCCTCTAAGACACCACAAAACAGTTGACAGTATTTTTCTACTACAGTTGGTTCATTTTTTTGAAGGTCTTGGAGGCCATGCACCTCTGGGGTGAAAAGGGAGGAGAGGAACTAAGTCGTGAACCACTTGTCTCCCTCTGGTAACAACCGACACAAGAGTTTTCTCTGCTTATTGCTGTACGAGCTTTTGAGCATACGCCAAGTAAAAAGTCGATCTCTATCTATTGTTCCCTAATGAGAAGGAATAAGTCACTGGAGAAGACCCTGATGCTGGGAACGATTGACAGCAAAAGGAGAAGGGGACAGCACCCACGGATGAGGTGGCTAGATGGAGTCACTGGGGCAGTGGGTGTGGACTCTGAGGGATGGTGGAGGACTAAACAGCAATCTATTGTTCATTAACCAAAACTTCCCTTTTGAACCCTTCTGTCAACCCAGGAACAGCACTGCACAAGCAAGCATGCCTACACCCCTCCATCCATCCAGTTGGGCTTCACACCAGCTTTGGCACCAAGCCAGCAGATTGAGGTTCGTGGGGCCCCTATTGGCAGAGCAGGCCATCCTGCCCTGTGAGTGGTGCCTTGCCACTTTGCCCAAGTTCACGGTGCTCTGAAGCTGCCTCCATTTCCACATCCTGCTGTGGAGGCAGTAACCCATAACACTCCCATGGGAGAATTGTGGTGGTGGTTCCAGTGTCCTTCCTCCTGTGACAACTCCTGTCTGGTCTAGAGCCTTTTAAAATTGTCTTGAGGATGAATTTTCAGAATGGGCACTAAGTGCCTAGCGGGTGTGCCTGAGCTTTCCCCAAACAGATGGAGGAGGGGTGATAAAAGCTGTGGAACAAAAGAACTTTTGAAATGTTGTTAATCACCCATGGATCAAAAACAACTGAGTGGTGGTGGGAGCGACACCCAGAGCGTGCACAAAGAAGCCTGGCAGGACTTCTGTTGAGACTTGCTTAGCTCTAGAATATTCCAAGTGTCTGTTCTGTGCAGGTGCTTAAGCCATACGTGTGAGTCACAAAGATAACAAAGAATTGTATCAGTGTTTAATTTTGAGGCTTGCATTTCAATAGTTGCTATGCATCATGTAGATAAATCACAGTTTACAAATAGCCAACAGATTTTAATTGCAATTTGATAGAATACAATGCAAAAAGTTGATTATATCAAGGAATTAAGAATGCAGCTAAATAGGGCAAAACTTGGTGAAGCAGGCTATGTCCTTGGGTATAAACCATTTGGCATGTACCCTGGGGCCATCTAATGTTTTACAAAAGAACAAAATGCACTGACAACTTTTTAGCAAAAAGCAAACAAAAAAACAAAAAAAAAACAATTCGTGGTGGAGAAATATTTACACTGGTGCCAATATACTTGTATAATGGTAGTAGTATTAGGCCACTAGCCCAAGATCTGGTTGAATTTCAGGCACTCCTTTGACAGTACCTCTGTCAGATTCCCTGATCTGTTGCTCTGCTGCCCTGTGCAAGGGTTGGGGTCACACTGCATGACAAGCTCTCATGGCTTTTTGTGCAGGATGGTCTGTTGTCTGAACCCAGTTTCCAAACTTCACTGTGGTCTCTCATGGTTTCTATGGTCCTAGTATGCAGCTAGCACAGAGTTCCTGGGAAAGAATGACAGCTGCTGCAGTCATCCAATGTGGGACTGAATTTCAGGCTGATGGGATATGTGCCAGCAGCAGGAAGAAATCACGCTAGTGTAGAAACCACTTGTCAGGAACATCCAGGCAAAAAACAGCACAGCATGGAAATGACTCAGGGTTGCTTGTTGTGATGTGTGAACCCAACCAAGGTGTTGTGCAATTGTTCTAAATGTGTTCCTCTTTTCTAGAAATGACTGTTTTTCTGGCACAGAGATTAGGCTGTCAGGCCCTTAACAACCAGGTGTCCTTTTAAAAAGAATTTTCTGTTGGTCACTTCCAATCATCTATATTACTGATGTTTTCATATCATTGTTAATACATTGCAATATCCTCTAGTGTTCAGAAGCAAGTCCACAAATTTCCAGTTGCATTATTTTTGAACTATTCGATAGGTGTAAGGTATCCAGATGAATTGTACATCAATTTGTAATTCAGTGAAAAAGAGGGAAAGCTGCTAGACTGACCATTCATTCTGAACCTCACATCAGCTATAATACAGAAAGCAAAATTCAAGCATCTCACCTTTTATAAGAGAAATTTAGGGTGGAGACAGAATGTCCCACTCATGCTTCCTTCCCTCACAGAATAGCGTGGCACATCTACAAATTAAAGTGCAATATTGAAAACTATTCCAGTTTTGTTTCAGGAAGTTTTTCTATGGTAGCCCAATTAAATCCCCAATTAAATAGTATAGCCTATGTCAAGGTAGGCTATCTTAAGTACAAATGAAAGGATAAAGGAAAATATTCACAAATATTACTCAAACTACACTGAAATCTTTCTAAGATATGAAACATTCACATATTTTAGATAACTGAAAAGGCAAACCTACTGCTTCAAAAATGAAAGTAAGTTACAACAGCACTGGCATACTTTGTCAATGTAGTAAATAACAATGAATTTTGGAAAATCAGTAACTTTGCTATATAATCCTTACAGCAGTAGTACAATCTTGCATGTTTGCTCTGGAAGAATTCCCATAGCATTAAAAGGGAATGATTTCCAAGTAAATGTGAACACTACAGAAACACTTGTGTAAAGTATTACTTAATTGAACAGAGGAGAGGTTATTTAGTAGCTCAAAATAACTCACACAGAGGAATACTCAAATTGCAGGCTGCCAAATTTGTTCAGTTTGCTTTAAAAATGCTTTGGCATCTTTTTTATTAATGATAGGCCTCTTTGACTGATGGACAGGGAAAAATTCCCTCCTTTTCATCACCTATATGGTTCATTTCAAGGCACATGTTCAAGATCACATACTCAAGATATGCAGATTAGTTATCTGTTCCATTATTAGCTACTTTGTCACACTCTCAATTTGGGTGGTCAAATTTCATAGTTCTAAATCACTGTAGCTTTTTAAAACCAGCATAAATTATGGGCAGGGTAATTAGACAATGGAGAGAAATACATGAATAAAACCTTAAATGAATGAAAATGGAATTATTTCACTTCAAAACAAAGTGTAGAACTTTTGTAGCAATGTTAACACTGAGTATTATTCTCAAAGTATCTATGAGAAAGTTATTTCACATTGTATTTTTCCAAGCCCTGTAGTACAAGACTTACAAGCTGAGCAGTATTTATGATCCTCATGCAAAGTACAGTTGTCACTTATGCACAGAAGTCATGGCTAATTCATCCAATGGAGTATATTTCATTAACTTTTTAAAGTTGCAAAATGTGAGAACAGTGATAAAAAATCTTATGTACATATACTTGGAGTAAGATCTACTGAACTCAAACATAGAGAGGATTGCCCTGTTGTGGAGTAAGGCAACAATGTAGCACTGCTGATTAACTTCTTCCATTGGCTCAAGATTTTGAACCACCTATATCATTACTTTAAGATGGGTAAAAATAGTATTTAAAGGTGAGTAAAATTTCAAGCCTAAGAATTAGAAATGACATGCTATTTCTATATATTCTTCAACTTGGAAAGTGTGTATCACATTGCATTAACACGCTTAATAATGTAGAAAAAGGCTTTGTTAATTTCCTATTTCAAAGCACATATTTTCAGTTAACATTTCTACACAACTTAAACAACTTGATAAATTGAACAAACATCATATTCAGGATTTGTTTTTATTTTTGGTTTACAAACAAAGGCACCCAATATTTCTATTTTATAAAAGCTTATGATTTAAAATTTTGTTTTCAGAATCTGTTCCTACAACAGAAAACTCAGCTGGAGAGTAATGTTCTTCTGATGGCCCCAAATTTTCAATTCTGGTACACCTGTGAGTGATCTGCTTCTGAATACACCTCACTTCAGATTTGACAGCATATTAAAATCAATGAAATGATTCATATTCATGTCCAAAATTATGGACTTAAATTAAAAAGACTGAACAATGAAACTGCAATGTTACTTGAACAGCAACGTGTAAGATCTAGATATGAGAAAGTGCCTTTGAACATCCAGATTTGTGTGGAATGTGAAAAATATTCTTGTGGCACAGCATGATGATACTTCTTCATGTAAGAACAACTAGGCAGCCATTGAACTAGAACTAAAATTCCAAGAATTCAAAATAGCAATCATACTGGACATATAGGGTCTCTAATGTGGCAAGCTAGATAATCCCATCAATTAATCAAAAATTCCTTTAAGCAGAATTGTGGACAGTGACATCATGGTTTCAGCTGCATTAGTTTAAAGAGTTAGCAATAATTTGTTCTATCAAAACAAGGAATGGTGAGAAAAATGAATACATCTAAGCACCTCTCTCACCATGTTTAATCACACATACACACATACACACTAGGGTGGCTGGTTGGGGTCCAGGCATCTTGTGCAAAATCCAAATAAAACTACCATTTACCAAAATACTAGGTAAATGTTCAAGTCTAATGAGGATGGGGAGCAGCTGTAACAAATATAGTAGGGATTTTGCAGCCAAATGTAAAACCTTAAATCACACAAGCCACAATTTATTGTATTTTCTCCATTTCCACAGCAGTCTCACACACCTCTAATTGGTGCGGTCCTTGACCATATTACATTTTGTATCTATGGAAAGATTATGTACAATTTTTTTTTTAGAAACACCATTATATTTAAGCATGTGAGACATTTAAGCTTTAGCTAGATCTCTCTCTTCAAAATTAGATCCACACTTGCATGGAATATTTCCACAACATCAAAACAAGGTTTGCTTGTGGAGTTATAAGTAAAGGACATGTGTGCCTTGTGTATAACACTTGTCTGATTCCTTCAGGATTCTTTCACAATTTCTCAGGCATATTTATAAAAACATGTACAATAGAAGTTAAGCATTTTACCACCACACTACACAGATACGGTGGATTATATCAAATAAAAAGAACATTAATATTAGTACAGAACTTTATGAACTGAAAATTAATGGGCAAGTTTATATAATTCAAATATTTTAGTAAGAACTCTTGCAAATGCATTTTCCCTGCTAAAATATATTAAACAGCCAGAAAAACACATTTACTCAAGTAGAAGCTATTTCATATTTTCATTTGCTTACTTGTATTTCTATTCCCCAAACCATTGAATTTTCTCTATCATAAATATGTTGACAGCTTTAAAAGTGTTTGTGAATTCAATTTAATATTTCTGTAGATAAGATAGGAAAGATGCAGAATCTCCTAGAGGGTTAAGCTCTGAATCTTGCTTTTCAAAGTACTTGATATCTTCTTTTATTCTGGGAGAATTCTAGTAAACTGTAAAGATATGTCTCCTTTCTCTGTATCTAAGAAAGATAATTCTTTCCTTGTCCAAGTACATCATTCAAAAAACCTTGGGAATATAAATACGGCATACTAGCTTTGGTTTTCCCCTTGAAGGAGCCCTGTCTTTTCAATTCTGGGAGTTTTACAAAGCAGTGGGAGAGGGGGATTCAGTACTTATACTGATACTGCACATACATCTTATTGTGGCCAATTCAATTTCTACGGGCTGATGAGGACTGGTAGGTGTATTTACAAAAGTAGACCAAAAACAGCTAGGATGGTTAATTTCTTTTAGTAATCTTCACCACATCCTTAGAGTCACTCGAAAGGAGGTGAGAAGAATAAGCTAACAAATGCTTAACAATCATTTACAAGACATCTCTCATAAGATTAACCAGACAAACCACTGTAATTTAAAGTCTCAAATAAATAAATTTATCATCTAAGCCAATCATTTCTTCACCTTAACTAAATGTACTCATTTGCAATAAAAATTAAGTTTACTATGTTAAGGCAGATTTTAATTCAATGCATTCCAGAATTGCACAGTTACATTGGTCAGTGGCCAAAGTTTTTTCCTCACAGAGATACTAACATCTGTTGAGATATTTAACTTACATATTTGCCTAATGACAGGTTGATCCAGTACCAGCCATAAAATCTCCACAGAAATACACAATAAAGCATCACATGTACTGTATTTCACAATCCAGATCTAATATTGTGTGTTTTTACAAAAGACAAGATGAGTAAGTACATTATACGGCTTTGTGCCATTAGACCACCATATGCATAGATGTCCTAATGCTAGAACTGTCATCTTCAGTATCGCATCGTGCTGGATGCTCTGAAGTAAGAGAGAAACTTGTAACACAGGCTAACGACAAAATACCAGATGTTTCTTGCCATTTGTGATCTTGCAATGAAAATGCGCCAGATGAGGATCACAAGCACAGTATTGAAACCATAACGTATGTTCCTTAGCCTAGAAAACAATCAAATAAAAAGAAAATGGGGAATGTGGCAACAATATGCTTATATAATGAAAAAGTTCTACAATGAAATGGAACTTATACTGTTCTATGTCCCTCCACATAAGATTGTTTTTTCAACTTCAGTTTATTGAAGATTTGTTTACAAGGTTAGACACAATCACCACCTTCTTGTATGTAATAAGTAAATACGTTGCATCTTTCAGCAGTATGGGCTCAAGGAGTTCATAGAATGATACTTTCTAAGAGCAATGGAAACAAATGCTTAACTTTAAAAAGATACGAAGGAAATACACTGCAACTGTTTACTATGAATAGATTTTAAAGTAGTATGAAGTCCTCAAATGGAACTCACTTCTAAATGTCAAGCTTTTCTGGCTTCTAGTTTAAAGGGTAATGTTTTCTGTAGAAGTCACAGATACTGCTGATAAAATCAAAACTCTTATTTAGAACAATGCCAGGCATTTTAAACAAAGGTGGGATGTCCTGGAGTAAAAATGCTCTTGTATTTCTAGGAATAAATGCTTGTGCCTACTGGATATAGTACGAATAATGCCTTTTTTCTTCTTATACCATAGTGAAGTGAGGTGACAAACAGAGCTGCAAATTAGTAAGTCTTGAGTTCAAATTTCATCTTACTTCGTTCATGACCTCAGAAGAATTTAGGGCAAACTGAACTTGTAAGCATAATTGCTTATTTTTATGATGTGGCAATGCTTACCTATTTTGCCAGACATTCTAACAATTACACAAGCTAACATATGCAAAGCACTTTCAACATTTAAAGTACTACACAGCTGCCTCAGCTTCAACCCCCTGTAGCCTTGAAAAGGATGACACAGGATTGAAAAACTTAAAGCTATGGCAGCAAAAATATCATTAGTTCTGACTCTCATTTGTCATTAGCAGCCTAGTCAGGGAAGTTACAATTAAAAATGTGACAGCTCTGGTAAATCTCATTCAGATTACATTTACGCACCATCCATTTAGTCTTTGTGCCATTCATTTTTAGGTGATGTTATTGCCTAAATATAATCAATTGATGTTATGAATGATTAAGAACTTACTAAAGAACTTAGTATCAGAAGATTTATAGTGGTCTTCTCTTAGAACATGTCCATCATTTTTTAATGGGCATGAGGTATTTATATCAATGTGCTTTGTTCACATTGGTCAAGCTATGTATGTATTAGTCTACAGAATAAAATATGAACTATACTTACTTGTTCAAGTGTTTCCGAGCTGCTGGGAGACCAGACATTTCCTCATTTAATACATATTTCTTTGTTCCCATGCAGTAATTTTCCATATATTCTGCCCAGTGTAACTGTCGGACATCAAAATTAAATGCCTGCCATAAAAATATAACCCTTAGTGTTAAGATCTGCATCCCAAATGAAATGCAGTTTAAGTCAAGCATATAACGGATGAAGATTTGTATCACAAATTAATGTGCCTAACTAAGCATCTGGTACAGGCTAAATCATCTCTAGTGGATGAAGGTTAGGTGGTTTCTGATTGACCAAATCTTGGAAGGGAGTAAGGCATAAGGTTACTGTGAGACACGATAACCAGTTGAAGAAGACTAAGTGCCAGAATATAAGTGGCAGACAGCTGGAGAAGGATGCTTCTATCCAAATACTAAGAAGCCTCAGAGCCAAAATGGGAGAGCAGGAGTTGTTAAAGGAGAAACTAGATATAGAGCACATTACAAAAATCCGTGGAGTTGAGATAATCAATGGGAAATGGTCATTGCTGGATATAATTATATAGGAAGGTCAAGGAAGTGCCAACTGGAGGAGGTGTTGCTCTCCCTATTAAAGAGGGCATAGAATCCAGCAGACTTGATAATCCAAAGTATGTGGACTCCTCCACAGAAGCACTATAGGTGAGAATTCCTGGCTCTAAAACCAATTTAGTCTTAAGAGTATGCTATCACCCTCAAGAAGAGAATGCTCAGGGTAATCATGAGATGATGAAGCTATTAGAGTTCTTTAAGAATGTCAATAAGCACATAGGTAGGGATAGTTCAGTAGACATTGTTTACTTGGGACTTCCAAAAAACTTTTGACACAGTCCCTCCCCAAAGGCTTCTGAGCAAACTAAGCAATCATGACATAAAAGAGAAAGTCGTCTTATGGATCACAAACCAGTTAAGGAACAAAAGACAGGGTGGGAATAAATGGTAATTTCTCCCAATGGAGAAATTTCATTAGCAGAGCCCTGCAGTGCTCTCCATCAGGACTGATTCTTTTCAATCTATTTGTAAATTATATGGAATTAGAAGTAAGTAGTGAAATGGCTGCCTGGAGGAATGTTGTCCATGGGGTCATGATGGGTTGGGTATGACTTTGTGACTAACAACAAGTGAAGTGGCCAGATTTGCTGATGATATCAACTCATTTAGAATGGTAAAAAGGGATTATGAGGAACTCCAAAGGGACTGTTCAGCTTAGGAAAAAAAGGTGATTACGGGGAGACATGATACAGATGTTTAAAATAATACATGGTGTGAAGAAACTACCCCCTAACCCTAGAATCCAGGGTCATCCCATGAAGATGAGGTGGAAGCTTTCAGACAGATAAAACAACATACTACTTCATATAATGTAGAGCCATAGAGCTAATAGAATTCACTGCCATGGGAAGTGATGATGGCCACTAATCTGGAGGCTACCAGTGGCTACTAGCCTTGCTGGCTATGTACTACCGCCTTTATCAGATGCAGCATGCCTGCATGCGCGAGTTGAAGAGCTCGGGCAGGCCAAGAACTTGTACCCATCCTGTTTGAGGGACTCTTTGTACAGCTGGTTTGCCACTGTGTGAACCAAATGCTGGACTAGAAGGACCACTGATCTGACCAGCTAGGATTTTCTTATGTTTTAATTATACAGTTTTGGAGATTTAGGATACAATTCCATCAGGACCCAGGGTCGTTCCTTAGCTCCCAAACTCCCATTACAGAGTGAGAGTTCAGAGGCAAGCTTTGCCTCCCTGATTTCCATCCTGCATTTTCAGTAGACAGGCTATTTTGCCCATCTAGCTGGAGAATCTTGGAGGAGGAGAGAAAAAGTCTGGAATGGATTCATGCCTCAGAGAAAAGCTGGTAGATTTTTCAACACTGGCTGCAAACCAATGGGGGATTGAGCTCTGATTTATTATTTATTTATATATTTATAACATTTCTATGCCGCACCCATCGCCGAAGCCTCAGGGCAGCTCTTCTCTAAGTTTGGAGTGCAGTCTAAGGGCCACAGGATCATTCCACGAAAATTAATTTAGAGCTCTAGCAGGGAAATTTCATTTTAAGCCCCTTAATTTAAAGCTTATTCTTGTTTTTGCTAATCTCGAACAATACTTTGTATACAGACACATTCACTCAATTATTGTGTGACTCTAATCATACCAAATAAAATTGAAGATGAACAAACCCTTACAACCCAACTATATTATTATTTCAGTGGATTTAGATCTAAGACAGTGTCTTGAGATTAACACTTTTATATGATTTGAAAAAAATCAGATCTTTACATAACACATAACAGATCTTTACATAAGTGAGTTTGCTACACAGAACTCTACCTAATTTCAATACAGTAAAATCTATCCAGAAATGCAGGTAGACAGGGCCCCCTGCCATGGTACAGAAACCAATGTAGGAACTGTTGGAAAAACTGGCACTGACACATGTCCTTCCAGGCCTCTGTGCTTTTGTGGCCTCCTCCTTTGCTCTGCTTTCCTCTTCATCTGTGTGCCCAGACAAGGGTGTGGGCAGGATGGGTGGGGCAGCTGGATGAGCTCAAGCAACCATGGATGGAGGGAGGGAGAAGCTGCCCACAAGGTGGGGGTGCCCTCCAGCAGCAGAGTGCTGTGCAGAGTCAGCAGCCATAAGGGCACGGCTCCACAACCCAGCTCTAAGTCAGCCTGCTTGGTTCTTAAGGGCCTGGCACAATTCTCTCTCAGGCAGAAGAGGCACAGGGGGTGAGCATTCATGCAAGGCAGATGGATTCCACAGAGAACACATTTCCGAACAGACACTTTGACACAGGGACTTTTATTTTTACTATTATTTTTAGAAAGATGACTATAATTATTTGGGAGGAAACTGATGCTTGGAAAAGAACTGAGCCACCCAAATGGTGGTCAGAAAAGAATTGGGGAAAATTGTGGGAGCCCCTCTTATATATGTCAGGAGAAGGGAGGAGTGGGGGTCCTACCAGAACAAGCTCAGCTTGGAAAATCTTCCCAAGAACAAGCCCCACACAGGCAGACAGCCTGTAAGAGTGATGCACAGCAAACACAAAGAACCTACTGATTTCAGTTCCAGACAAACATCTATGAAAGGTCTTAAAATCTATGTGCAGTATTTGCAAATATTAGTAGTGCTAGTGAACACAAGTGTTCTGGTGTTTTAAGCTTTTGGAATCTTCTCACCTTTTTGCTATCTTCACATCTGTTCCTCTTTGAATTTCTTCACATGACAATATTTCAAATACTATATTGTTGACGAGTAAAAACAACATAAACATTACTTGCCTTTTTGTCTTCAGGACCAAGCTGGTTCATAAGCATATTGACATTGTCTGTATTCCAGTCCCAAGAATTACTGGTGAAGTACTCTAGTAACATCATAACCTTGTGGAGACGTGTTATTGTTTTCATCATCCTACAGTCCAGGGGAAGAGTGCATTAAAGTTCACATTCAGAAACTATACATGCCTAAACTCCCCAAGTCACAAGATATGATGCCCCAACAGAGAGCCCTCCACCTTCCCATAACACCAAAGCAATCAAGTAGATTTATCATAACCAGAATATTTTTGCATTGCGTTTTAAGAAATACTGGGCTGCATCAAATGTTAGTTAGAGTAGACCCACTACAATGAATAGGATTTAAGTTAGCCTAACATTGGATACAACCCATTTGAGAAAAAGCAATAGTTACATGCTCAAACAGTATTATATACATTGTATTTTACATATACATTTAAAATGAAGAGAGATGAGTGGGGTGAGGAAGGAAGAAGAGCAATCATATATAGTAGGTTTCATTGCATGGCCAAAAGTGGAAAAGTTTTATTAGAGAATGTATTCATAACATTGTAGCTTTAGCGAAACATAGATCTAGCCTTCGGCTATTGGGCAGTATAGAAAGTTTAAAAATTAAACAAACAAAATTTAGAGACAGATGCCTACTCTCCAACGCTGCTCCACTTAGAATACCATTTCTGGGGACAGCTTCATCAAAGGGCAATTCCCTATACTGTAATAGTGCCCAATGCTATATCCATACACATTTCAGATGCAAGAGATTTAGCTGAGGATAATCCATGGCAAATACCCCTCTTCTTTTTACTCTTGAGGCAGAAAAGGAAAGTGAAGGAAAGCCCTTCATTATAAGACAATCTCATCTTTCCCAAAATAATCATTGGTTAACTGCTGATGTGCCAGTTCAGATACAGATTAATATACAGAAATATTCTGCCCTACTGGAGGAACAATTAACTTGTCTGAATATAGTGCATTCTATTGTTAGGATCAACTTGGAAAGCAACTTTAAAATAATACTGCTATGCATGAATTTGAATGCAGTAAATTGTATGTACAAACCACATTCATCTTTGCTGCATATTATCTTGGTAAAACTGGTCAAATAGATTTTGCTGGCACTGGCTGCCTACAGCCAAGAGCCAACACCTATTCTACACATTCATTTCCAGGCTAATCCATATAACAGAAGGCACTGATGATAAAGAATAGGGAAGATGAAAAGATGAAATGGAAAGGTAAAATAAAGTCAGCATCAATACAAGACAGCTTTTTGAAAAGAAAGTACATTTGGCAGAGTGCTACTAAAAAAGGAAGGCAGATGCTCAAATACAAATAACCAGCCACCAGAAAGGCAATACAAGGTAATTAAGTTATGCAAACTTTTTCTTAAGAGGATTTTTATACAGTTCTTCTAAGTACCTGAACATCACATCTCACCCATATTATGAAAAGCAGAGCTCTTCTTCCCAAACTTTCATAAGCAAAACATTCACCAGAACAAAAACACTGAATATGAACATGAATTTTTAGCAATTAAAAAGTCACTGAATTCAAACACCAGTGAGTTTACAGAAAGTGTATTTTAACAGTGACCGTCTTACACGCATTTAAGCTTCTGGGCTATACTTTCAGAAGAACATAAAAAGGAACCAAGTGAAATCTAGTGCTTCCAATGTATTTCTATGGTGAAGAGCTACTGAATTCAGCAGGCTACCTTTTTGGCAGCTGCCCCAAATTAATCTCTTTATATAGATTCTCTTTGCACTGCCAAGATGTTAAAAGGCACGGCTGCAATAACAATGCAATATCACACTTTAGGTTGTTCTATTGCCACAGCAAGTCTTACTCCTGCAGTCATTTCTGTGCAAGTCCATGTGCCTAGATAGAGCAATGCGTACTCTAAGGACCAGTAAGTGATTCAAATACATTTTCAGATATTTTCCTGCAAGAAGCCTCTGAGTTTTTCTTCAACATGGTCTATTTAATTGGTGTCCTGCAGGAGCATGGGGTTGAACCTGGTGGCCTTCATGGCCCCTTCCAACTCTACTATTCAATGATTTAGTGATTTACATGTTCTAAATACAATGCCATTCTTGCAGCAGGATGAAATAAACAGCTTCAAGTGTAGGGAAGTACAACAGATTGGCCAGAACTGTACATCATGAAAGCAGTAAATGGTCTTTGTTTAATGGTAAGGAAGGTAATAGGTAAAGAATGGCACATTTGAATTCCAGAACAGGTCAGTAGAGCCAGCTACTTCCAAGACCCTAAATCTGACCATTCTGTTTACTTAAAAGACATCCTGATTTTAACTGTATTGAACTACTGCTGATTCTCTTTAGTATCCCTACAAACAGATTGTAGGTCTTTACATAGCACAAATTTCACACCTACAAAAAACAAGCTTGAACTACATTTGGATATTATTACTAAACAGCACCATCACCATGTTGGGTCAATTAAATATAAGTCAGTGAGGAAATATGAGGGGAAAGGTTTCGAACTACTGAGGTTAACTAGTATAAATGATATTGTAAATCATCATCATGGGCTTCATACTGAACCAAAGGACTAGCAGCTGTTCACATGTGTGATGATTCAGCAGATGCAATCCTGTCAACTATCAAGATCATCCACGGTATTATGAGGAGTGCTTTTGTGCTCCTGTTTCAGTTTCGATGAAACTGAATTCTTCAGTGTGTTGTTAAGTTTTCAAGCTACAAACACTTCTAACTCTATTGACTGAGTAACAAGTACATTTATTTATTTTCCATCTCATGGAAAAGAACACTGTTGTAGTATCCAGGAACTACCAGCAAAGCTTATAAAGTTCTAAACACCTATAGACAGATCCTATGCATCTTTATATGGACGTGCACAGTCAATCCATCTCCATGCAGATACAATTATGTGGTGCACATACAACAATTTAATACTTTGGATTATGCTCCTAGGGTAATTGAAGGATCTATTCATTCAAGTCATTATGTTTAACTACTGCAGAAACTAGTTAATATGCAAGCATGTTCAGAAAATACATGAATTTCAAGATAGAAAACTTTATTTGAAATTGTTTAATATCCTGTCCTTCCCCACTAAAAAAAACTGATTAAAATCAAGTATCTAAAATTGCCTCAGTTTAGATCAGTACATTCTGTAGAAAGGAGCTGTATGACAAGTGTCTCATGGACCATGTGTGGCTCTCCACTTCTCTCAGTAGAGTCTGCAAAACCTGTAGCAATGGCAGAAGTTAGCAATGGCAGAACATAATTTCCAACTGGTGGCTGCAGCAACTAGAGGTTGGCTTCCTGACATGGTGTTCGCTTGGATCCCTACTCTTCCTTTTTATTTGACTATTTTAATCACACAGTTTTCCTGTCATGTTGCAAAGCAAATTGCTATCCTCCAGCTTTATTGTTATTTCTGAGAATGCCTCTGGGTTCCACAAGACTTTTTTCTTCTGGGAAATGGGTGTTTTATAACAAGCCAAGTCTCCAAACCAGCCATTTTTGAGAAATACTCCTTTTTCATTTGTGTTGCCATTTTGGTGGTATCTTCCCCTTCTTTAGGGGTGCAATAGGCCAATTTTCTGCCCAATTCTAACTTTCAACTAACTCTCAGCTGTCCCAAGCTTTCCATTGCTCCAGGAAACTGGTGGGCATATTTCATCACCTCTTATTTTCAAATAAGCCTCTTATTTTCAAATGTTTCTGCAAACCTGGGTAGTCTTTCCCAAGCATACCAAAACCAATACCTTGTTTATGGATGGTTCCATTTTACTGCTCAAACATAAAATATCCATGTTTAATAGCACAGTGGGAACTACACCGCACTGTATTCCCAGCCCTTAACAGGTGTGCTAACCTGAAGAAAGTGTCTTTGAGGTTCATGGCAGAGGAAGAAATTCTTTTTTCCCTATTCAGCATCCTTTCCCATTCCGCTACTGCCATTCCTAAATTTGAGCATATTTTCTTGCTGAATTAAGAAAAACAGCATTCTGTATAGATATTAGGTTTCCTTAATGAAACTTCCCTGTACAGCACAGGAAGTATAAAATGCATTTACCTGACCCTTGGCATCTCTGAGATACTCTAAGTTATAAGAAGCTGTAACAGGGCAATCCCAGTAAATATCTTCTGGAAATCATGGAGCACAGATCCTTGCCCTTTGGGGTCTTAAAAATATTTAATTGATATGCTCGTATTCTCCTGCATACTTAGGCAGTCTCCTCAACATGCAGAGGCCATCACCTCATTTTGCCATTCAGTCAGTTCAGTATTAAAGGAAACGTTCAGATTTGATATGGTTGAATGCAAACTATAAAAAGCATGCTTATGGGGATGAATATGCCTTTCAGGCATCCCTCCTCCTCAAACAATACTTACAGATTCAGCTGCTTTACTGGACACATTTGTTTGTTCTACCTGGGGTCAATTATATTATTCTGATTTCAATAATCTAGAGGACTGGAGTATGTTTTTGCTATCTAGTAAATTTCACTCAAGTTCCAGTAGCAATCGTGAGCAGCAGGTACATACTAGAAGTTTTGATTGGCATTTAGCGGCCTATAAGAAGTTATATAGACTAACCATTACAAAAAAAAAGTTAAATGATGTGAAGTAGATATGTGAAGTAAACTCAAATGCTATTAAGTCTTGTACAAAGATAAGGATGTTGCCCAGGAATCCAATTACACGAGAAGTGTATAGAACTGGCAAGCATTTTAAAGTTAACTCAAAATAATGCAAATTCCTGGAATAAAGCAGGAATGTAGCAAAGTTGCTTTGAGGGGCACAAGCATGGGAAATTTGTATGAACAACTGGGAGAATGACATGGAATCATCCATGAAAGATGAAAGCATAAACACTTGTCCTTGCGTCCAGTCTGTACTATGCTAAAAATGAAAGCAACCGCCTAAATAAAGCATGACACAAGATTAATTTCTGTGCATGCTGAATGATCTAACTTTCCTTAGTAAGATATCTACTGCCAGAGAAGTTGGCAAGTTTCTTAGAGGACGTTGAGAATATATAAAAATATGTCATTGTTTAAAAAACAATGAGTACTGTTTTCTTTTCTTCCTCCCAAATTCTATTTAATCTATGACAACTTGACTTTTCTTCTGTCCCATCAGATCCTGGTGGTAGCTGGGCAGTTTGAACATCAGTTCTGCAAAAGAAAGCTTGAAAATTGTGCTATTTTAAAAAATTTTAAAATAGGAAAAGTAAAATTATGCAAGTTTGACCAGCTAAAGGAGACCTCTTGCCCACTTAAAAATAGCCAGAAGAATTATAAGCCAAATGATAGTGATATATAAAGTGTTTTAAGTTATCAGCATCATACATATAACACATATAAGTGTAGTATGAATTTGTATCTCTTCTATTCCCTTCCCCTCCTCATTCATTTCAGCTTATAATTTCAATAACAGTGCTAGAGTAGGATGATTCAAAGAGTTTAGTGTTCAAACTTGCCAGGATTGCTAGTTCATTAATAAGAAAATAGCTTTGAACAATCACTAAGGTCCAAGAAACATCCTGCTCTTTTACTATTATTGTTTATTCTTCCATTAGTAAATCTAAGGTAAAGCTCATGCCATTGATCTACGCCGACAACAAGCTTCCATCACCTTTCTAGCAAAAAAATTAGCCCTTTCTTTCTTACCACGGTTTCTGACCTGTCAACCTGAGAACAACATCGTATAACAACGCAGGAAGTATGTGACCGACTGTAGTCCAATAATGATGTATAAGAGGGTTGGACTGGAGTTTAAGATTGGGACGCCTTATTGCTTGTTCTAAAGGATTCCTCTTGAATATCAAATTTAGGTAACATTCTGTAGGAAAAATAAGGGTCAAAATGGTTTGAGTAGCTCTTGCTCAAAGAATGAATCTACAGTTAGGCAGAAAATTCAATTAGCCTAGACATCTAGATGATTTAGCTATTTAGTGCAATATCCATACTACACCATTTTCACTGTTGCCAGAAACAGAAGATTTGACTTCAGGCATCTTCTTGGATCTAACAGTCCATTCAATCATACTCACAAGAAAGAAAAACGTAGTTAATGTGTTAATTGTGTAAACACGGGTTTGTAAAAAGCCAGAGGGACACAAGACAGAGCTAATCACCATTACCTTGGACTTCTTCCTGTAATCCTGAGGTAGGTATCATACAGGAATGCTGGGGCCTTATGGCTTACAGCAATCCAGTAGTGATATAAAAGGTGATTGGAGGTTAGATTTACATTGGGCCGTCTGAAGGCCTGTTCGAGAGGATTCCTCTTGAAAGTGGATATTACATGGTATTCTAAGAAAGAAAAGTTGCGTAACAGCTTTGATAATAACCATGTAAATGCAATGGACTTCCATGGACATAACATACAGTACTATTCTCACTGCATTAAAAGTTATTTTTCCTACATATTCTTCGTTAACATGGAACATTAAACATTTAAACAAATTATTCAATTGTCAGTTTATGAAGTCTGACTTATTAGACATTTTCTACTTGTGTTCCATTCACTGGAGATTCTTTTCCTGTTCCTCTTTCTTACTTAATTATTAACAATGGGTGTAAATTATTGAAAACAGATCACCATAGGTTTATACCTGCTATAGCATATGAATCAAACAATACTTAGTATGTTGCATTACAGATTTTAATCCAATATTTTAAATTAGCTGAGATATCACATTCATGCAAGTTAAAAGTAGTGAATTTGTTTATTAATGTGCACTTTAGATTTCTGTTCTGAATGTCTGGACTGCTACCTTTCTATTATTTAACCCTGGTTCCCAATATCAGTCAAAAAATACTATAAAAGGAATAAAATTTACATGTGCAAATATTCCCACAAAAAACAGCATTGTTTGATACATAGATTCATATTTGGAAACAATGTAACTAGTAATTAACTAAAATAAAATATATTTTATAATATAAGAAAAATATTTTGAAAAATATTTCTACTTCCAGAATTTGACTAAACAAGAGAAAAGTGGGGAGAGGGATACATAATTTATAATTGAGTTTAATTTACTATTTAATAGGCTTAGAAACTCTTAGTCCTAAATATTGGTGGAGAGGGGTAGATTTCAGTGAAGCCTCAAATCTCTGTAAATCCAATTAGCTCATATGCTGTTAATCAGGTGCAATTAACCAAAAAAAGAAAAAACAACCTTCTCTTCCCCACAGCTTTCTCAATCTTCTAATAATGCCAATAGACATAATCTTGATTCAAAAACATGGCTATTGGCTCAAGATATGAGAGAGAGAGGTGTTTGTTTAGTCTGCATTTTAACATTAACCTAATTTAGACTTCCTCAACCAACATATGAATTGAAATGCAGTTAACCTTCAGTATTCTCATTTCTTCAACTTTTGCAATGCGGTTCTCAGATTTAAAAAAAAAGTGTATCTGAGGGTAAAACATGCACTGCTCTATGTTTATTAGTGAAAATAACATAAAATACATTACATAATAAAAAATTGCTTGCAAAAATGCACATTAGGCAAAACCACATGCAAAATGCTCATATATGAGAAGGAATGCAAAAACTATTATTTTTAATTGCACACTGATGCAGAAACAGGACTGAATGGACATACAATCAAAACATTATAGAACCAAAAACTGAGGTTCATTCATCCCTACAATCAGTACCCTACTCCTTCTATGGAATCCTTATTCTGTACTTTGTTCTTATTAGAAACTCTGTAGTACTGCCACCAATAACAGTCCTGATGCTGAGAATAACCATGGAGTTCTGTACATTGTGCAAGAAATATGAGAGTTCTGTACTGGTGCAATCTAATTTCTATCAGAAAAGCGGAACTTTGTAATCTGTACATGTTATGCAAATCAACAGTGCATAACTTCCATTTTTATATTACAATTTGCATTATATTGTCTAATTTCTTTTCTGGTTCTCCCTCATGATGAAAAGCACAGAGTAATATAGGGTTCTACTCTTATTCCATCAGCACTGTCTTCTGAAATTTCTGCAGAAAGCCAGAGGAACTAGAAATGAAAGCTTCTGACATTTTATGCACTCCTGTACAGTTACAGCACACAGAGATGAAAAAACAATTTTGTATTATCTTCTATTTCTCATTACTCATATAGCTACCATAAAAGGTTATAATAATTTTGAAGGGTTTTTAAAGCTATATTGGCATATTGGATCAAACACTGAAATTGCTCTTTTCTATCTCAAGCATACTGTGCCATCCAAGAGCTCCAGTGTGTTTTAAGGTATTTAGCAAGACTTTCCCCTATGAAATCAGTTTTGCAACACTATTTACAGGAGGCACCTAGAACAAATAAATGTCTATGGCCAGAACAAAATGGGTACTTGTGCTAAATATTATATAAGTAGAAAGATGGCTTTCTAAAGCTTAACAAATAAGTTAATTTTAAAATGTAATAATTTTATTAGGAAGGAGAAAATTAGGCCTACCGACTTCACCCCAATGGAAAGGATTGGTGCCACCTGTTGTACAGTTGTATACCATAATATTTCTTGGCCTGAAAAACAAATATTAGTTTTTGTTTTTCTAGCATCTCTCTTCTAAGCACAAAATCACTTTATATAATCTAAACCAAGAAGCGGTAATACAGCAAAAGAACTACCCAATAATTCTAACAGAGCAATAATAATATAAATCAGCAGCCAAGCATTAAATCCAACTTTACAGCAACTTATTTTAATGTTTACATCCTGCCTTTTTCCCTTTCAATGACTCAAGGAGGTTTACATAATCCCCCTCTTAATATTTCCTCGCAACAAGCCAGTAAGGAAATCTGAGGGTCTGTGACTGGCTCAAAGTCATACAGGGAGTGCCAAGCTGAGTGAGAGCTAGAACCTGGGGCTCCCAGATCCACTGTGCCACTCTGGTAAAAGAGTCCTTGTGGATTTTACTCTGCTTAGCCAGCAGCTAATGGGGGGCGGTGCTCATGTCCATTTCTGAAACTGTGAGCCAGCGCTGTACAAAGATGATCCTGCGGTCATGTGGCCAGTACTCACAGTACATGCTTTCAAACTGCTAGGTTGGCTAGAAGCTGGGGCAAACGACAGATGCTCACTCTGCCTGGTGGAGGCTGGGTTCAAACTGCAGGAGTGCCAGTCATTTTTGGCCAAGAGTTCCAGCATCATTAGGAAATTATTCAAATGAGAAGCAGAATAGAAATGCCTCTACTAGGCATTCAACAGCAGCTCTGGATATTCCATAGGAGTGGCAAGAGGGAATGTTCCCCTGTTCTCTTTGGACAGAAACTGAAAGTTTGTGTCAAGGAAGTTTAAGTCAGTTGAACTCCAGGGCACATATCTTGCATGCAGAAGATGGTAGGTTTGATCCACAGCACATCCAGCCAGGACAGGAAAAACTTCTGCCTGAAACACTGAGCAGCTGCTGCAAGTCAGTATCAACATAGAAGTAAACCTGAAGTCTATGTAACTATTAGAATGTTGTAAGCATTTCATACAAATCTATGCTTGTATATAAAAGGGTGGGACAAAAACGGCCAAGTGCCTGTGGGCACAGGCAAGGGATCCATACCTTAGAAGCTAGACTGATTCATATAGGTGCTGGTGCTTCAATTTTCTAGAAAGCTTCCAGAAACAAGACTTAGCATAGCACTACCACTCATCAATCAAAAAGACTGGGAAGGGCATCAACAGGATATTAAGTTTCTCTATCTTTGTTCTTCAAATCTAACCTTTGCCAAAATTTGACATTTTCCATTTTTGTAGAATTTTTCACATGCCACAGTAACAATACGAGTGGTTCTTGGGAAGATACCATGAAGCCTATCTTTGAGACCTTTCCTTGGCAGCTACATTACAGTTCAGGACAGTGGGTTATGTTGTGATTGTCCCTCCAAGGACCTGCTCCAATGATAATGAAAGCCTAGGGCACTCAAAGTATGCTTTGGGTAACTTCTGGTGGTAAGGAAACATATCGCTATCAATATGATGTTATAAGACCACTGCTAAGTCCATTGAAAAACTGCATTGTCACCTGCTATACCTATTAACTCCTGAATACCAAGCAGCAGCTATTGTTGTGTTGATGACCACATCTACTGGAATAAGATCTGCAACTGCATTGTTGGAAGCCCGCATTGTTCGTAGGATTCCTTTTCCTGCCTTAAAACAGAAGGTACACAATAAGAAAGCCATTTCAAGGGTCTGTTGGTTTTCAGAGAAAATGTGTACATTTTTTTACTGTTACTTACAGCAATAAAAAGGCCACTAGGTCCATTAAAGTTATCAATCCATCCCTGTTGGGAAACCAAGCAAAAGGAAGAATGAACAGATTTACTGACTTAATTGGCATGAAAGCTGGAGTCCTTGTGGCTCTACATGGAAAGTAATTCAGTCATAGGAACTGACTTCTGCAGGTAGAAGGCTAAGTTATGAATGGCACTGGAAAGAATCCGTCTGGGGCTTAACAGGAAATCCCCAGCTTATTTTCAATCTTCTATTGGAGATTACATCATGATTCCTCTCCCCATAACAGATGGAAATTGGGGAGGGGTCTGCAGAATGTGTTCACCCTTACAGAGGCTAGAGATTGATCCGATCATGCTCCATTCTGCTTTTCACATAGCTCTGACTGAGCAATACATACAACTGGAGATTCAACCCGATTTACTATTGGCATGGCCTAGTCCATTAAAGAAAAGATCATAAAAGTTGACTTACAGGGAAAGGCTCCTTCCAACTGGCACCCACAATTGATGGCCTTATAATGGCTACATTTAGTTTTGCACCTTCTTGCTGCACAATATATTCTGCTAAGGCTTTTGTATATGTGTAAGTATTAGGTCTGTCTCCTAATAGTTTTGGTGTAATATCATTCACTAGACCATCATCCATCCATCTAAAGAAATAAAATAAGTACATTTTTGAAGGCAGAAACATCCACTGTTTAAGAGTTATCTGTGTTAAGAGTTGTATTAGCTGTACAAAGGAAAAAATACACCAAAATTGACTGTAAACTACAGGAGCATTAAAAGATTTCAGAAGAATTTGTGCTCCTTTCATTCTAATTGTCTTTAAAACACCTTCAGACCAATCCACTACTTCAGTATTGTAGTCATTTTACTTATGCTTGAAAGAGAGTATCTCATTTTTTCATAATTAAAAAATAAGAAGCGCAACATAAACTGAGATGCCTTATTCTCATCCTGCTTTTCAATACTGACACCCATGATGCAAATGACCTTTTGGAGCCACTAAATGATGCTAGTCATCATATTGCAGAAAATGCATTTCAAAACAAACCCAACTTTTTCATATTGCTCCTACTTTAAGCTAAAAATGGGGGTGGGGGAGAGATAAAAAGATCAAAAGAGAAGTTAAACAAGCTGTCATTACATTTTAGAAGTTTTCATTTTCTGAGACTTGTTATTTAAGTAGACTGGAGATGAATAACATAAAAGTTAAGATGCAAGTTGCTGCCATTAGTAAGGCTTTCAATGGATTGATAATTACACATTAGGTTCATTAAGTTACCTTTTACATCCCCAAGAGTAGAGCAGATTGAAAGAGTGCACTCTCATGCATATTTACCCAGAAATAATTCCCACTGAATGTAATGTAACTTGCTCCCAAAAGCTGCATAATTCCCCCCCCAGGTAGCTGCTCTTAGGTACCATTGAACCAAACTTCAAGAACAGTTTGATATTAATATTTTTAAAGGCATTGAAAATTAATGGATGAAAGATCAGCACAATTGCTGATACAGTTCCAATTATCAGACCTACATCCCCTGTAATAGCTAGTTGGTTCAAATTTTTAGCAAGTGTAGTCAAGATCGCTACTAATAGCAAAGACTGTCCAATTTTATAAGTTAAATTAATGTTTCTATTCTTTTTTTCAATTTTGAATCCTTGATACCAGAGGAAAAAAGCATTAGATACTTACTCTAAGGAATCTATCAATTTCTTAGGATCAAGAGGAGGTGGATAGACAACCTCCTCAATGTGTTTTCGATTGCAATAGGCAAATGCTGTTGAAACATGGACGAACACATCTAGATTCTTCATTTTCTGAGCCAAGAAGAGCAACTGTTGTGTTGCAATTACATTGAGTTGAACAGCATCTCTGTTGAAGGGGGGGGAAATCAAATGAGTCTGTTTAAGAGGATTTTAGGACACAACTTACAAAGTCCCCTTCCTCCATTTTGAACAGTCTTATACAGCTTCTGACAAACCCACTTCCTAAGAAGGCATGGTTAAGAAAGCGTCTGATATTCACAAGCAAGAATACCCAAGGACCAGATAAGAAGCAACAAGATGTGGACATACACCCCCAGCTAATTTCGGCTACCGGAAAATCTGGTATAGTTTTGGAAGAGAAAGCCATGTTTTTAAATGGTATCATTCCATTCTTTGGCAAATTCCTTTCCCCACCAGAGTTTTTAATGGTTTTTTTTTAAAGTGAGGAAGTGTCTCTGCCTTTACATGCATGCCTGTCCAGAATCACACTCATCTTTTGACAACAAATATTTGAAAATAGCAAATTTAGAGCTGGTAGATGACAGACACATTTGTATAGCAATTCTTCCAACTTTCTTCCTAAAGCTAATTTTTCCCTACAGTTTTTTGAGTCATTGCTGATAAGAGCCCAAGAGGATCCAGGCATTCTCAACTATCACTTCATTGCTTGCATGAGGAGTTAGCTTAGAAGGTGGAAAGAAGGTCAGACAACTCTCCATTATTGTAGTGCAGCATTAAAGCAGAGGCAAAAAGCAATAGCCAGATTTGCGCAACACTTTAAGCCTTTGGCTTAATAAACAAACAATGGGGCTTATTTGACCTAGAGGCCATGATGGGCCCGACAATCATGCACAGAGTGGTTCCCAAACAACCTTCTCCCCTCTTGGGCTTCCTTCAGCTTTACCAGGGGAAACCACAGGGTCTTTGAGGTTCTCCCCTTCCCCACTGCAATTTCACCTTGATACAGGTTCCCCTCGCCATGTTGGCAGGTGTGGGGGAAAGCTTGCAAAACTGAGGGTCAACTAGGGACACAAGACCTCCCTCCAAAAAACTATGAGATTACACTATGAAGAAGGTAGAAAGAACCCCCCCTTCATGAAGTGTGTTCTTGCACTGCAAGAAGCTGCCTGCTTCCAATCTGTCAAATTGGGATAGGTGCTTGCAAAGCAGGAGAAAGTGGGGAAATACTCACCTGCGGCCTTTGCTGGTATTGGAGAGGGTGAGGCACAGCTGTTATTGGCTAAAAGCAACCCCAGCCACTACCAACCAACAAGGTCCCCAGTTTTCCCCCCTACCTGCCCCCTTTGTGCAAACAGGCAGTATATGGAACAAACTGATTTTGTACAAAGGATACACTGATTTGTTAAGAAGAAAGGGCCATGACAGCCCCTCCAAAGCACCACTGGGTGTCCCCACAAGGGCATCTCATAGATGCTCTCATAGTGATCACAGAGGAGAACCTGACAGTCCACTTTCACCATCTCAAAATATCCCTTTCAAGCTGAAGCAAGCCTGAAAAGATGCAGTTGGGGCAGTGGGGGAGAACTTTGCCAGAACCCTCTCCCCGATTGCTGCTACAGCAGTTATGTGGTGGCTGGAAATAGTGGTTGCCAACGAGCCACTCAGCCGGTATAGCCAGATTTTGTGCAACTCTGGCCATGTGTCTACTGGGTTTGGATGGCAAAACAAGCCTTTCCGGGTCAAAATAAGCCATGGCTTTTGGAGGTTGCTTAGAGACAAACCATGCATTCAGACAAGATGCTAGCCACTGTGAAACCATAACCACAGTGGCTTAGCATGTTGTGCCAACCCAGTCAGACTGTGCAAAGATCTGAGAAACTGGACTCTTCAGGTAACTGCTAGACAATAAAGTTTGTCTGGTATGTCTAACCACAATTTGTGGTCACCTAACCTTGTGGTTATATAGACACCTACCAGGATAACACTCTTGCAAAGAAAATGCCTAGAATGAAGAGCGTATGACGCCATGATGAATAATTCAAGTTTCCTTTTTCCAGACCTACTGCTTTTAAATCTGGAAGTTTCTGAAATGACTCATTCCCATTTCACTAAACTGTCAACTGAAAAGTAAACATAATACTTTTAGTTTTTCCCTTTGCTAAAACTTAAAACACACTGAATCCACCTGCACATATTATAAGTGCAGTCAAAGGCACTAAGGCAGTGTAAGGTAATGCATTTTTCCTCTTAGAAGCTTTCCAACCAAAAATATATTTTGAAAAGACAACAGAAGATAATTACATTATTTTTAAATAAAAACAATGAATATTTACCTTAGAATTTCATTGAATCTTATAGTAGCAGCACAATGGAATATGATGTTAGTGTATTCTATGAGAATCTCCTTGTCTGCATCACTAAGGGCCATTTCAGGTTCTGTAAGGTCACTAGCAACTGCTATAATTTTTTCTTGAAATTCTGGTTGTTCATCTCTCAATCTGTCAAAGAGCTGTTAAAGAGATAATTAGACTAAATATTAGGGAGTCAAAAACCAATAAAGCCAGGAACACATCTTTGAATTCATCCTATACCATCATACTAGGAAAATACTGAGATAGTTCTTTTCTAAAATATGTCACAATATTTTCTGTCTCACGTTGCTTATGAAAGAGCATAAATTATTTTTAAAAGTACTGTGCTGAATCAAGCCAAAGACATACCTAACCCACTGTTTACTAATCCAAAGCAGCCAACTAGATGTTCACACTATAAAATTTCTTGGTGCAAGTTTGTAATGGGCAACTTACTCAAGCACATACAATCCATCTCATATTCAAGGAAAAATCTTTTATATTGTGCATATTGACACTTCCATAGAAATAAATACCACCACCACCAAAACCCTGCCAGTTAAAGCTGTTTTCACCTTTTTCTAAAATTAAAATATCTGAGATCTCTACTTTAACCTGTAGCCTCTTTCAATCCCTCCATTCATAACAAACAATGCTCCTTAGGCAGAAAGGGTAGGGTTCACTCACAGGAACAAAACTGTTCATCTGCAAATAATTTCAAGATCTTTTTTCCCACAATAAGATCACTGAGAGCAAGGGAGCTGCTCCTAAACACACTTCAAAAATCTGTATTAACTAGAGTAGCCAGTTCCTATCTAACTACACACACTGATATAAGATTAAAAATCAAAATCTGTTAAGTATCAGGAAATGCAACTAGAGTATTTTAAGGTCAATTTCCACAATGACCCGATTCACGACACAACAACCCATCACGGGTAACAAGCCATGGTGGATCATCACATCATCAAATCCCAGACCACTTCCCTCAGAGTGTTTTTAAACAAGTGACCCTGAGAATCCATGGATTGTTCTAGGAGTTGTTTTTCCCACAGTGGGTTGTCATGTTGTCCAAACCAGGTCAACAAATTGCACTGCATGTAAAGGGAAGTACCAGTAAGGCTCTTGACAAGGGTGACAAAAAGTCCTTGCTGCTCTTGGTGAACTCATCTCCCACATGCTACTTCTGAGGTGCCATGAAAGACAGCCCCTTTCAAGGTGGACTAGTGACACACTGCAGAGGTTGTCATTGGTTGGTCTCCCTGCATTTTTGAAAGTTGCATTCCAAATGTATGTACATTTGTTATAATTCTTTCAAAAATGTTTGCACTGTTACTTTCACTGTGGAGACACACACTTCTGCTGGTTTGAAAAAAGGACATGTCATCCAGACAGTGTAATGGGGCTACCTGTAGAGAATCGGCCAGTCTCTTGCACACTGCAGACTGTTCAGTGGGAGTTGTTACTGGATTCTGAAGAGGAGGAGAGAGGCAGATAAAGGCTTTGAAGTGCCTTCAGCTAGGCCTAGTGAAGTTTCTCAGGTTGAACATGAGAATCGGCCTGAATTGGAAAAGGAAGAAGGGTTTTCAGGATGGGAGGGGGAACAGGTGTGAAACCTAGTTCTTGACCCAGTGAGGAGCTGTTGCAAGAAACAAGCTGCTCAGTTGGAGGGGCTTTGCCATTTGTGCCATCTTGCTCTCCAGCAGCAAAAGCCATTCTGAGAATAGAGCCAGAATATTTACTGAAAGGGAGGGACTGAGGGGAAGTTTCCCATTCAGATTCAATTCTTTAAATGAGCAGAGGCTTCTCTTTTCAGCTTTGGCAGAAGGCTATTTAGAGATCAAACTGTTCAAACTATTTAGAGCTCAATAAAAGAACTGTGTTTCAAAGGACTGTTTTGAGTTTTGGAACCAGAAGGAAGGTGGGAAGGGACCAGCTCACAACAGTACCTGCTGTCAAAAGGTGGCAAGGGAAAGCAAAGACATGAGTTACCTTTTAAGCGGTCTAGGAAAGGCCAGACAAGTTTGTTTTACCAGAAAGAATACATATGAAATCTACACTTTTCTCCAAAACATCTTGTTTTGCCTGGCCTACATTTAAAAAAGGGAAAGAAAAGGCCATATTTCTGATAGCCTTTAAATCCAAGAGAGTGTACTGTTCAATATTCTCAGCACCTTATCTCTCCAGAATGGGTGTTTTCTCTTGACAGCTCACCTTTTGTTCATGGAAAGTAAATTGGGAAAAGGCCTATTTGGAGCTTCTCTATGACAGCAGGTACCACCCAGAACATTGCCCTGGTGAAGCTTTCTATTCCAGAACCAAAGAAGTGCACACCTCCACATTTGCACATGTCTAATTAGAAATCTCAAACAACCCCTCACAAAAAATATTTTATGTATTTGGAGTGCATTTTTTAAAGGGGTGGACCAACAAGGGATAACTCCTCCGATGCACCACTTGGGCGCAGTGCTGTCAATTCAGAGACTGATCTTTGCTCTGGAAAAGTAAGAGAAAGGGGGGAAGTAGAGGCAAGCCAAAAAATGGTTCTCAGTCATAAAAGCAAGTCAAGACAAGTTACTACGTCTCCCAGGATACTGGCTGGAAGACCAAAAGGGAGGAGTGAGAGAACAATTAATGGTGAGCTCCACTGCGGTTTAGTCACAAAACAACCAACACACTGTGATTGCCAGAAGAGGAAGCACCATGTGCAAACCCACCCATGGCTTATTTACACCAAATGTGAACAGCTATTCCACACTGAATGTATCTCAACTCTCCCTCCCTCTCTCTCTCATCATGGAAAACATTACAAATGTGTTTCAGAAAAGTACTGTGCACAGCCATTTTACTGTTCTGTTATATATGTCTGAACTGTTACTACACCAAGTAGTACTTAGATTAGCCTTAATTTTAACATAATAGGTTTGTACTCAAGATTAACTGTAAATGAGAAAGGAGAGTGAGCCAGTTAGTATTTGTAGCTCTGACAATATCCTAATTGTGCAAAAAATGTAGAAAATTACAGATGTTGAACTGTCAGAGAGGTAGACAGTTTTGAGTTCCTTCATTATACCAAATCACATCATTATCTCATAATGACACTAATCCAACACGTGTTCTCTCTCTCGCTCTTGAGAATTTTACTCAAAAAGAATCTTTTTTTAGCATTACATGGACATTTATGGAGTCATACCTTGCAGTTGATCATTTCTTCCACTCGTTCTTGAGATGTCTTCCCTGCTTTGTGTCTCACCAACACATAAACTGCTTTTACATTTGGACAGGACCTTAGGAGCTTTTCCAAAAGAACTTTTCCCATGAAGCCAGTAGCTCCAGTAAGGAGGACATTCTTGCCTTCGAAGTATTCTGGGATAGATACCATTATGATCTTAAAAGAATTAAAGAGGAAGTTAGGGCATATATACTGTCACTTAAATACACAAAAGCACAAAAAAAATCATGCTGGATCAGACCATCAGTCCAGCATTCAGTTCACACAGTGGCAAACCAGCTGAACACAGAATCTCTCAAGCAGGAAGGGTACAAGACCTCCACCTGCCCAAGTTCCTCGGCAACTTGTGTATGCAGGCATGCTGCATCTGATAAAGAAGGTAGCACACAGCCAGCAAGGCTAGTTAGTAGCCACTGATAGCCTCATCTTTCATGAATCTAATTTCCTCTTAAATTCATCCAGATTGGTGACCATCACCACTTCCCATCACAGTTAATTTCATAGTTTAACTCTACATTGTATGAAGTAATACATCGTTTCATCTGTCTGAAACATTCCACCTTAGCTTCATGGGATGCCAATGGGTTATAGGGTTAGGGGATAGTTTTCTTCAAACCATGCATTATTTTAAACACCTCTACCATGTCTCCCCTTACCCACCTTTTTTCTAAGCTGAACATTCCCAGTTTTTGTAGCCACTCCTCAGAGGAGTTGCTCCAGCCCCTTGATCATTTCTGTTGCCCTTATATTTTGTCCAGTTCAATAATGTCCTTATTCAGGTTAGATGAACACAATATTCAATAGTAAACACACAATAAGTGTGGTTTCACCAAGGATTAGTATAAGGGTTGACAGATTGTAAGATCTTGACAATTCTATTTTCTGTCCATCTTCTAAGTATGCTGAGCATAGTTTGCTTTTTTCACAGCTAACATTTTCATCGAGCTGTCCCCTCCCACCCCAAGATCCCTTTTGTGCCTCACCACAGCTAGTTCTGATCTCATCAATATACCTGTAATGGGGATTTTTTGCCCCAACATGCAATACTTAACATTTACTTAGATTGAACTGCATTTGCCAAACCGATGCCTATTCTCCCAGCTTGGTGAGATCCCTTTGGCGTTCCTCATAATCCCTTATGTTTCTGACCATTCTAAATAGTTTGATGTCATCAGCAAATCTGGCCACTTCACTACTTATTCCTAATTCCATACTGTTTATAAAAAGATTGAAAAGAATTGGTCCTAATGCACAGCCCTGCAGTATTCCACTGATGATCTCTCTCCATTGGGAGAAATTACCATTTACTCCCACCCTCTGTCTTCTGCTCTTTATAATCCATAAGAGGACTTTTTATTTGCTGACACTCAGACTGGCAGTAAGGCTGACAGCCTTGGTCATTCCTCCTCAGCCTCCCTTCCAGAATACCTAAAGAACAGGTATGTGCTCTGCATCCACCACTGTGAAGATTGAAGAAAAGAATTCATTCCACTTGTCTACAATCTCCTTATCCTCCCATAGTGCACTTTAATTCCATTCTAGTCCCATGATCCAACTACTTCTCTAGCTGCTTTCCTGTTTTTGATATATCTAAACAATTCTTTATTATTGGCCCTGATGTTATTAGTGATATGCTTCTCAAACTGCTTTCTTGCTTCTCTGATTGTCTGCTTACATCTCCCTTGTGCAACCTTGTGGACCTTTCTATTCTCATTTGGACAAGATTTCCATGGCAAAATAAAAAAGAAACAGGAAGTTAATAGTCTGGAAAACCGTTGTGCTAATTTTTAACCAATAACTCAATAGTTCAGTTTATTATAATACAATAATAGGAATATTATAATAATAGGAAACAATAGTCTGTAAGCAGAAAGTGCACTGTAGCCTTGCCAGTTTCTAGTACTTAAGCAGGCTAAGGGTCCCTCCCCCCGGGGGGGGGTGAAGGTAGGGCAGAAAAGAGAACAGATTGTTTGACTGCCAAGAATTAAGTCAGTTCCTACAGATGTGCTAGCTTTGACACATTTTTAGTTGAATAAAAGACTGATTCTGATATAATATTTGTCTTCCATAGAATACCGTGAAAACTGTGATCCATGTTACACTCATGACTATACTGTGGAGGAAAGACTTTTGGAATCAGCCATACATTTCATAGTTTAACATTAACTTTTTTGTTTGCTGGAGCTTTAGAATGTTATTGACATATACTGCAATATCTGTCTACAGCTTTATCGGTGTAAGCTAACAGCTAAATCTACCTTTATATTAATGTCTGTTAACAAACTCACCATGATAACAGGCCATGCAGAGAAAATGGTAAGATTTTTCTCTTTGTAACCTAGCAAAAACTATTTTGGTTGCAATATATGAATATGTGGCCAATGCAAACCATGCTTTACCATTTATTCCCTGCTAGGAGGGCTATATCCCTGCCAAAATAAAATAGGGATTACTAAAAGCTACTGTTCTTGAGAAATGTACAATGATCCCATTCTATATATTAATCAATTCTTGGAAAAATACATGTGCCCAATAGCAGAAGTACCTTAAAAATAAATATGTCAATGAAGACTTTAAGATCTGAGGTTGGAAAGATATTTTACTCCAAACTTTTATTTCAGATTGGCCCTTACTCCCCCCGCCCCTTTGTGCTGAATTACAGACTAATCCAACCATTCAGGTCAAAAGTAAATATTATTTTAAGTGCATGTTTGCATTTGCACTGGTTTATATTGCAGCTTTGCAACACCCCCATTACCACTTCAGCCTCAAATTAGAGCTGCAGTGCAGGAAGACACAGGTTAACCTTGTCACACAGAAGAGGACCAGGATCTCTTTTTGGTCATCCCAGAATGCAGGACACAGAATAATGTTCTCCAGTTACATGCAGCCAGATACTGGCTGAATATCAGGGAAAAAATCCTGACTATTACAGCACTACAACAATAGAAGTAATCACCTAAAGAGGTTGTGGGCTCTTCCACACTGAAGGCATTCCAGCTAGACAGGTATTTTGAGAGATGCTTTAACTGGGAGTCCTGCATTGAGAAGGGGTTGGACTTGATGACCTCCTCTATTATAAGATATATAGCCCCTTCCTTATATACCACCATTTCAACAGTCTCTCCTCCTGCAATCTTCTTGTATTGGAATTACTATTAGAAGTAACAGTAGTTTCCCTTCCAGGATAATTGAAGCTTTACAACTACAGGTTTTTAACTGGGACAGCAGCATGAGAAGAAAATGAAACTAAGGTTGCAGTGTGAATCAGGTCCATTGTGGCAGCTATTTATGCATAAAACAAGAAAGACGCAAATACAAACATGCACTTAACATCAATGTAGTTTGATCCGGGTAATGGTTATAATGATTCAGAAAGGATTAGATTCCATTCTAGTCTGATAAATTATGGCTTCTAATAACTGAAGAACTAATAAGGAAATTACTACTCTTGTCAATGAAACACTGTCCCCAAATAAAAACTCCAAGGCTGATGTTATAGGGGCTTTTCAAATGATCACTAGTACATGGTTGAACTGTTCAACCTGGTTCACAAATTATATTAAGCCAATAACAACTGAGTTATTGTGGGTTGTTTGCAAGGTAGCATTATCCTGATGTCCAGATTTGGAGTATTTTCCCTATTGCAGATGTTTTGTTTTCTTTTGCGAACAAGCCACACTGAGAATCCAGGGCCTGTGGCAGAATTGTTCGGTGTGGCGTGCTGTAACATTGACAGGGCAATTTTATCTTGGGTTATTGTAAACATAAACAGAGCTGACCAGCAAGAGCACCAAGAACCCCTGCCTTTGCTTGCAAGTCTCACTGGTGCAGTCAACATTTCTTTCCATCCCTTCTCAGAAACTTCCACCTCAGGACAGATTTGTTTTTCATAGAAGTCTTGAAGAAAGGATACCCAAAGGTGTCCAAAATGCTTTAGCCAACTGTTGCTATTTTTTAAATGAGTTCCTGCAAAACTGCACAGGACTGAATTAAGGAATTTTACATGATTCCTCATCCATTTAACAGTTCTGCCATGAAATTTGCATATTTTAGCTTTGCCTTACTCATCTGCCTTGACTATTCAGTCCTCACTAAGCTTTGAAATTTACATTTGTTCACAAACTCAGTCCCTGCTCTGCCTTAATATTTGCATATGTTTAGCAATCCCATTCACTGCTCTGTAACCCTCATGCACATTGGACAGTTACCAATGAAGATCAGTGGAAGGAAACAGCAGTCAGGAAGGGGGTTGTAAGTGACTGCTGACAGTAGAAGAGAAGGAACTTTAGGGGCAGGTAAGGACATTGAGAAGAGAAGGATATCTCAATACCAACAGGCAGTATGATGGAAGATTTTTTTTTTAAGTCCCAATATGTTTTCCTGTTCATAAGGGCTCAGAAAATATTTCCTTTCTGTCACTGAGGCAAAGGCTGGAGAGTTGGACATAGGAAGCTAGGAAGTGGAAGATGAAATTGACAAGGACATTGGTGGTTGTGGGGGGAGGGGAGATATGTCTCTGTTGGGCCCCACAGTAGACAGGTGACCTTGTAATCCAGCACACAATCCCTATTTATTTTGTTTTAAGTTTGTACATTTGTTCCCTCATGCATAAGGGCTCAGCAACTTAAATCCCTTTGGCAATCTGATGCAGAGTGGGGAACATACTTGAGCTGGCAACTCCAACAGACCAATTGCGGAACGGGTTGCAGACATAAGGAACAAAGAAATGAGGATTTCTGCCACAAAGCTTCCTGGGATACATGCCAACAGTGGCCAGGCAGACTAAAAGAGAAACAGCTCATAGCAAGTTGCCAAACAGCTGATCATCTGTTGGGAGTAATGGACATGCCACCCACCCACCATCACTTATTCTCGAGATGGTTTAATGTGACATCCAAACCTATCCTTCAGTTAATGAGTACTTAACATTACCTCAAGGTACTAGTACATAGAAACTAAAAATCCAATCACTTCTGTCAATGTTTAGGTACTATATACCCATAAATGCACAAAATCTTATTATTATTGAATTTTATTCGGCCAGGGCGGCTTATTTTATTTTACTGTATATATATTTTAATTGTCATTGTTTTAATGTATTTTGTATTCGATGTTGTAAGCCGCCCCGAGGCCTTGGCAAGGGGCGGCATAGAAATGTTTTAATAAATAAATAAATAAAATGGCAGATAGCTCTTCACTATATCTCCACTGTACTGTCTAAGCTAGATTGAAGACTTCAAGCTTTAAGGAACTTTGAAACTGTTACCTCTGCAAAAGCAGCCCCAGGAAAATACATGTTTAATTTCTGAGCTATTGCTGGGAGCCCAACCCATCTTCAAGCACAGACATAACACACATCATGAAAGTTCCTTAGATAATGAGCAGCAGCATAAACTATAATGATAGCTTGCCATTAAGTGAAAGGTGTTATCCATAAATGGTCTCACAGGCAAGGGTAAGACAGGTGAATGTAGGGCCTAAGTAAAAAACAGCCAAAAACCACAAAACTTTTACTAAGGTGCACCAATATACTAGCCAAGATATGCTTGTTATGAGTTACGTGGTAGCATTCATAAACATTCAATTTATCCACAACCATATATTCCTCCTATGTGGAACATCCACAATAGGTTGTTATATAGTGGCATCTTAGTTGCCAATTATGAAGACCTACCTGCAATTAAAACCAACCAAGAGGAAGTGCAGCAACACTGCATTTGTCCAATCTGGTGCCCTTCAGATGCTTTGGACTACAGCTCTTACCACTCTTGACTATTAATCATGCTAGTAGGGCTGGCAAGAGTTTTAGTTCAAAGCATATCAATGGTACAAGGATGGCGAAGACTGCTTTATGATATATTTTAATGATTGGGATAGGCATTACACCAACAAACTTTTTGAAGAATCAAATTTAAGCTCAAGATTTGACCTTACATACTTTTCCTATGCAAAAAAGCAAAGAAAAATAGCCCTAAATGAGTTCCCCTGAATGCTACTTGGGAAGGATATTGTTTAAGAAAATATGCCTTTAGATAAAACACACATTCATAAATCCAGAATTCAAGCTCAATGCTTTCAGTTCAGATAATGATGCATTCAGAAGTATTGTCCTTTTGACAGATGTCTGATCAGCAGTCTGATAGAAGGCAATTTAAAAATAAAACAAAACAAGGACTAACAGCTCCAGTATTGTGGCCAATAATTTCTCTTAATAAAAGATTATAGTGTCTAAGGCTGTGTAAGCACCATTGTGGAACAAACAATTGTTGCTCTGTTAGCCCCCAAACCCCACTGCCTCTCTGTTTTGTTGAAGTACAAGCTTTAGTCATTCATTTTTTCCAGAACTCAAGTTTTAGAAATAGAAGTGGCAAACACAAGGAAGAGATATTATAGATAAAATGTGGACTTGTACCTAAACTAAGTTTTTTTTGGTTAAAGAATATTAAAGTAACTAGAACTTTGAGCTTTGCAAAAATGCAACATATTGAAATGGGAATGAACATACTAAAAATATGGAGTTGTTTTAAAATTCTGATGTTTTCTGTTTAAATAAGATGTTGGAGATTTGAAATGCTATAGAAAAAAATATTAGAGCAATCCTAAAAGGGATAGCTAGTTGCCATCCACGCAGATATTTTGGCTAGCTGCATTACCCTTTATTCTTCAATTGTTCAGATTTCAGTCTATACAAGTCAGTGCAATACATTTAAGTAATTTAATTTAAAACAGTAGAGTTGCCATTAACTTAAATCAAAACATGCCTTCTATCCATGTAGTCCCAAGTAACATCTTTAGCTGTTTTCACTGAATGTTTAGCTAAGGGAGTTTTTCATACTTTGGCTAGTATTTGCTATAGAAATCTTTCAGTGCTGCTGAAATTACTGTGTAGCAGGACTAATACAGACACTCCGTTTTGCCATCTGCAAGTTGCCCAAGTCCACTCTTATGAACAGGTTTAACCATTTCAGATGACCTTGCTGGTCAACCATTTATCACCAGGATCCTCTCCTCTGCACAAAACCTTATCTCTGACCTTGTAACTTGTATGTAAAACACTGTATGAACTCAAAAGAAAAGACTCCTGCTCTTCTCTCCAGCTTTAAGGTTGGAATGGGAATGTGAGAGACAGCAGCCCTTCCAGTCCTCCAACAGTTCAGAACTGAGGGAGGCGGCTTTTTCTTCCCTGACACCAAATGGGTCTCCAATCTTGGCACCCAAGCAGGCATAAATCAAGCACACATACCCCTTGCTTCACTTCCATGCTGGATGGAAAAAGGATGCTATTCCTACTTACTTCCATACACAATTCAAGGACAAAACCAAGTCCATGTACCTATTTTCTCCCTCTAAGCTTCCGGCCACAAAGGAGAAGTAGAGATGTGGCAGCTGGCTCTGCATCTGCATATGCATTCACTGGGTGCTCCAGGGTCCACAGGACCCAAAGGTCAGTCCACCACTTGGGAGAGAGAAAGAAGCATCTCTTACGCTGCCTCTATCTGTAACCAGACTTTCTGTCAGGCACAGAGAGAGATTCATCCTCTCTTTTCTTTAGTTACAGTTCTGAGGAAGCCTCATACTCATCTTACTCACCAGAGCTTAATGCTTTGTTGAGGATGGCAGTGAGATTATTGAACCCTGAATATAATGGCCTGGATGTGCCCTCTTTTGCCACTATGTACCTCAAATCCCCAAGTTTGCAGGCAGCCCAATCTGGATGAAACATGCAGACAGACAACTAGTGCATGACTCAGCTAAAGCTGAGCAATTACATAACAACATTTCTTGTTTTGTTTTTAAAAGAGCAACTAGTCCCTAGTAATAACATCCTCTCTCTGCTGAAAATGCAGATGATCAGCAGATACATGATTTGCTCTATTTCCAAAGTTCAGAGATGAATATTTTTTAATGTAGTCAAAATAGCAACATCTACTTACAAAAGGGATAGATTAGTAGGCTTAGAGAAACACCAAGTTTTATCAAAGTACAAGGGGGAAAAGGGTTAAGGGAGAACCACCAAAAGAGTGCAAGAGTACTGAGCATGCTCAATAGCCATGAAATGCTGAGTGAATGTTGAGGGGGGCAAGAACAAACTGTGGGGGAGGAATGGAATGGAGCATGAGGAGGACGGCATTGCTAATTAGCTGAAATAATGAAGAACTCAATGCTGCATCATTTTGTTGCAGGTTCCAGCTATTCCATATAATGAACAGTTTGCAAAATTTTGACTATTTCTGTATTGCAACTGATACATATTTGCTGATACAATTTTAATCTTGTCATGCATACCCAGTACATCCTCAGTTTCTGTCTATGTATATTATGGATGCTGGCATAAAACTAGAGGGGAAAATAATAAGCCTGAAAATAAACGGGGAGAAAACAAGCAACAGCTAGCAAGCACTGGAAACCAGGAGAAAATATGGATGCTCCTGGTTGTACAGATCTGCCTATAATTATTTCAGCCTGCAAGAGCAGCCATTCCAATGTCGAAGAGGACCCAAGCTTCAAGAACTGCAGCGTCTGTTCATGCCAGCCTTCTATACATGCGATTGTAACGATAACTGGAAGACATAACTTGTGCAAAGTATAGCCAAGAGCATTCTAATAGCTATGCTGCCATCAACCATTGGTAAAATTCAAGGTGCATTTTAAAACCCATAATAATTTGGCTTCAGCTATCAGACAAGGAATTTTTGCTTTCAAATAATAAATCACTTGCTCAATCTACATCTCATACCTGATCTACAAGGGGGCACAGAAAGGTACACTCTGTAGTTGCCTACAGTTGTTGAACTCTTTGCCACAGGTTTCTCAAAGCCCAAATGGATTTCTGGAGCATTATGACTATTTTGATTGGACAAATTCAGGATTAAGCTGAATGTTGTTAGCAGAATAAAGTTCTTTATCTGCTTTTATCCTACCTGTTTTATATGCCTTTAAGATTAGCTTTCCTTTTCTAAGATTCTGATATAACAAAGGTTGAACATTTAAAAACGTAGCTTGCTAGTGATCTGTTGGAAAGTTGGAATGAGCCTGGCCATTTCCCAGAGATCAATTCAGGATGGGATACAGCTTCCTGTTCTGAAATAGAAAGCAGAGGTATACGCAGATGATATTTACATTTTCATAGTAATTTCATAGTTATCTACAATTATACTGTATGTGAAGGTTTAAAAAATTGTAATAGAGCTATAGTCTGGGTATCTCAGAGAAACTTAAACAATTAAAGGGAAAAAAAGAGCTATCAGATTTCAAAATTCAAGTCAAATTTGTCATCTTCTGCAAGACAAAAAGGTACAGCAAATAAAAGGATTGCAACTGACACCAAGGAATCAACTGCACTGTTGCAGAAATGGTACAGTATACGTTAATGAAATCAAATTAAGGAACAGGCTTACATAGAAGTAGAGCTATAATATAGTCCTCCCATGATATTGCTGTAGTCTATCACTTGCATAATGTCCCCAAATTAGAAGATGGCTTTGGATAGTAAAATGCCCCATGAACATGTTTGTGTAGTTTTTTATATCCAATGAATGAAAATTAATGGTATTCTTTTAGCTTATTGCGAAGTACTTGAAATGAAAAGAAAATTATTAGAGCCATATAGAGCCGAAGTACGGGGTTTTTTTTTGGCAGAAACTCAAAGCAGGAGGACACCTATAAAAAAGGAATTACCTCACTGACCTTCACCACTGGCATCTATCAAGAGAGCTAGTGCAATTTAGCAGTGCCAAGTTGACCATTATAGCTATGTGCCAAGGAGGAGTCCTACCCGTCCTCAGTAACTCCCTCTATACCACTTTAGGGAAGCTCAGACTTGCAAGCAAATCACATGCCCTTCCACTACATCAAACTTAAGTCTTCTAGTTATAGAAAACTGCATGGCCTTCTGGTCAGAAATCTGTACACATTAACTGAAAGCAGCCAATTTTAATTATGCATCACTGCCAGTACTGACATAATTGGATACATGTTTTTACCACCATCATTTGGAAAATACCAAACTAACTTTAATAATAAAGCAACATTAAAAACAACCATCTAGCCAGTAGAAGAATCTGACTCCTATCCAACAAGATAGACAATTCAATGTCCAATGCTTGGTAGTAAATTCAAAACAGCAGTAAAAAGGAAGACTCACAACAAATTATGGCAGAGGATGGACAGAATGAGTATGGAAGAACGAACAATGTCCTCCTTTAATCTAACTTCAACCTACTCATTCTATGCATATATAGCCACTCACAACTGATATAAGTAAGGCTGCTTAGAGAACGGGATACTCCTATGACCGCTCTAAGAGCCTGAGGTGAAAGAAGGGTGTGGCACAGCATGTCCTTCACTTGTAGCATAGTAATAGAGCACATGCTCTGCATGCAGATGGTCCTAGGATAAGCCACAGTATGCTAGGTAGGACAGGGAAACTCATCTGAGTCCCTGCAGAGTTACTGCCATGCATTGCAAACAGTACACTGAGCTAAGTAAATAGACTAATGATTTGACCTGGCATAAGAAAACTTTCTTGTAGAAGACTTTCCAATGAAAATGCACAAAATGACTTCTTCAGAAGCAAAGAGTAATCTGTAACCCTAAAGTGACTGATGGGGCTTCATCGGGATTCAGCACCAGGCCAAAGCATGCTGCTTTTTCTACCTGAATCAAAACTGGCTAAAGCTTTGGAAAGTTATTCCAAAGGGAACAGAAGAGTGGGATTTATGCTTTGCCAAACTGCAGCACATGGCAGAATAGGCATTTCCCTAAACCAGAAAACCCTCAGACACATGCAGCCTTGCCACTTGATACCTAGGCATCCCTTGGAAAACCAGTGATGGAGCCCTCCCCAATAGTTGCTGGATGATGCACAGAGTCTGTAAGCTTTTTCATTTAAAAAAGGGGTGGGCATATTGAGCTATACCTAACACATATTCCTTTGCATCCTGTTTTCTGCATGGACAAACAAAATTAGCAAGTAGAGTCAAGCTTAGTGTTCACTGGGAAATCCTTTCATATAAGGATTAGGAAAATATTTCCATACCTTTGCAAGAAGGGTGGACCTAATCTATTTTTCTTAATCATCATAAGTGGCTTTAGAAAAGATTACTGGATGCCTGTTACAATTATTTCTCAATCATCTACAAAGTTCAGGCAAGAAACAAGTACCTTCTTCCCTCAGCTCTGGAAATCCAGGCATGAAAGGATTTCAAGGGTGTTAAAAAAATTCAAGAGGACACCTCACACCACCCCATGTTAACTCCTGCTTTGGCGAAATATACAAGTCACTAGGAACTGAAGGATAGCTCATTAGCCTATAGCGGCCACTTTGCAAGACACCTTGCAAATAAAAAAATGTTGGTATGCATTCCAATTTAAGCCTTCATATTAACAGAGTCCAGTAATTTATCTTCCACAGCTGGCTCATTCATTCAGCTTGTGTTACAGGAATGTGGTCAAAATTCTCAAATTAGAAGTCATCCATATGTGTGATGTGATCCATGCTGGCTTGCAGTCAGATCTGGACTGCCTGACTGGGTAGTGAAAACTGCCAACGCTTCCTTATATGAAAGTTTATTTTATTCTACCAACAAGTGACAATAGCTTCTTCCCTGTTAAATTAGTCATCGTTAAGAATAATTATTGACCAATGTAATATGCTTCATTTTGGGGTAATATGCTTGAGTGCATAGTGAAGTGAATTTCAAGAATTCATGGATACGACTGATCGTCTGAATTTACTCAGCTCCAGATTCAGGTCTGATTTTAGGGCAGCCTTATTTGCCCTAACAGATGATTGTCACTGAAAGCAAGATGAGGCATAAGTAATGTTGGTTCTGCTGGACTTCTCAGCATTTTTGGTGCCAGCTTCAACTATTTACCTTTCTGGGTCACCATGTTGGGATGGAGTTCAGGGAAACAGCCTGCTCTATTCCTTTCTTGCAGGTAGTTTCAGAAAGTGGTGTTGGTGGACTTTTGCTCATTTCCTTGACTTATAAATTTCCAGAAGCCTTAATGTTGCCTCTGTGCTTTTTAACAACCACATAAAACTGCTTGAAAAGATTATCCAGGGATAGAGAGTGATCTTTCATCAGTATTGGACTATTATAGCATGCTTTACATAGAGATTCCCTTGAAAAACACTCAGAAATGTCGAGTTTTGACCGGGGAAAAGCACTAGGACTATGTGACTCTGACTGCACTGACTGCCAGTTCATTTCTCAGTGCAATTCAAAACACTGGTTATTGCCTTTAATGCCTTAAATGGATTAGGATCTAGCTACTTAAACAACTGTCTCCTTCTATGTAACTTGCCCAACTTTTGGAATCAGCTGCTGCACTGCTCTCATGTACATTGATGGCAACACACATGGGTTATCTCATTGGTGGCAGTACCCCATACATGGAACTCCCTGCCCCAAGAAGTTAGGCCATCTGTTTGAGTGATCTGTCAGAAAGTATTCCTTGATGTTACTTATTGACTACTGACTGCATTTCCTGACTGCTATTTCTGGGGTTTTATTGCTGCTGTTCTTAACTGTGTTTGTGATTAATTATTATTTTTATATTTTTATACTTTTGTAAGATGCTTTGAGCTATTCTGTTTTTAGAGCAGAAAAGCAAAGTAACTTTCTTAGATAAATAATAATCCTATTTTGCTGGAGTGAAATGTGAGTGTAGCAATCCCAGAAAAATGAAGCAGATGAGCAATAACTTTTATTTTCAGGGGAATGAATAATGGAACTGAATGGTAAGCATAGTAATGAAAGTTCAAGAAAACTAAAAAGAAAAAGAAAGAAAGATGAGAGGAAGGAATCAAGATTTTTAAATTCTCTGAAAAATTATGTAATACGTATTATACATTCACATTTGTGCAAGGAATGGCACATCTTTCAGGTTATTTTTTCATCTAAAGAAGCCCTCAATATTATCCAGATCCAATCTGAAATACAAAATATTCACTGCAAATCAAGTTACTTTTACCGATCAACAAGCTCAGAAAGACAAGTTGCCATAGATTTTCTTTGCTTTCCCACAGATTGTATCTCAAGTTTCAAAGTCTGCATTTTGTATATTCTGAAAAGCAGTACATTCTCGTTTATACAGGGTACAATAGAAGGTTGCATTGTATCCAATCTTGGATACATTGGCCTCTTTGGTCTCTACTGTATGCCACCTGTGCTGAAAACTGTCAGGAAGGGTTTATTCCTATGGGTTCATCTAGGACTCTTGGTGAATTTCTGTACTACCAACTGTGATATCCTTCTGAGTTGACATACCAGGATATGAGCACGGCACACTGCTTTATACTGTTGCCAGCCCTTCCAAGAGCACAGATCTCAGAAGATCGTCCTAGGACATTTCTGCAGGACCTTTCCCATGGTTCTTGTCTTGGAAGGTGCTGCACGTACCCATCTCACTGATTATAGCACTTGTCACAGACTCACAGAATTGGAAGTTCCTCAAAGTTTGACTACATAGTTTCTTCCTAACAGTCTCTAAGGAGTGCCCAGTTCCTTCCAAAGCCGTCTATATGATTGTCAAATAGCTCATACCATCAGAATGGTCTGCCAAATAATTAGTTGAATCCTCTTTCTTGTGATTTGAACCCACTGGTTTTGGTCTAACATTTAGGCAATGGAAAATAAATTTATTCTGTCATCTATAAAACAGTCTCCAAAATCTTCAAAAATGACAATTATATCACCTCTTAATAGTCTCCCTCATAGAATGAGGTCTCCAGATTCCTCATCATGTTTGTTGTCTTGCTCCTCTAGGCACATTCTACTTCATCAATATTCTTTTTGAACTATACGAAACTACAGAGTAATCTGAATATTTAGAGTGTAGCATCATCCACCCAATCCTTGGAAGACCTTAGAACTTCCAAATAAGTGTTCTGAATCAGGGAAATATTGCTGATTAAGATACACCCTGATTCTGGGATAGGGAAACAGTCTGATTTGGATAAGTTTGTACTCCCCCAGAAAGCTCAGATTGCCAGCTTAGATATATTCTTAGAGCTGGCACTGCCCAGATGGGCAATAGAAGCCAAGAGTGCATTTTAGGGACTTAGGTATTACTTCTCTAGACAAAAACGACCTATGCTTAGTTATTCTGCCTTGGATACATCCAGCCTAGATTTCTCTAGCATGCTTTGTGGGACTGCGGCTGGCCTAAAATGAAGCCATCAAATGTTAACTAAAGTGGGAGTGAAGAAAACATTGCATGCCCGTCCAGATACAACTGTACTGGCACCCAGTTTAGCTTTCAGTGTTCTTGTGTTGCCCTATAAAGCCTTAACAGCCTGAATCTTGAGAAACTAGGAATGCCTGCTTCCAAAGGAGTCTATATATGGGAGATTACTTGGGAATCCCATGTGCACTTCTTTGATTTCCACAATGGAAGAAAGGTGAAAAACACATGTACTCAATATAAAATAATAAATCTACTCCACATTCACCCACTGTTTGAAATATATGTGCACGGTAGAATTACTCAGGATAAGGCTTTTTTTATATAACATTGGCACTATGACTCTAGGTTCCCTCCTAGGGTAAATTAGTTCCACCCCTTCCGACATGCCAACTCCCAGTAAAGGCTATTCTCTCTCAGAGAGTTCGTGGTTCTGAAATTTGACACAAACACCAACTTAAGTTCATCAAAAATTTCTATGTTTTGTTGCTAGAGCCTGTTTTGCTTACCACTGCTGAATTTACTTAATTGTTGGTTTATTTTATTATTATTATTATTATTATTATTATTATTATTATTATTATTATTTTATACTGTTTTAATAAAGATTCGATTGCTGGCTCCTTTTTGTACATTATCTTAATAAATAGTGCTGGCTGGGGAATATTAGGGAGATTTAGGGCTTTTCTTGTTTAAACATGTATAGGGTTGTACCCATAGAAAGCTAACATGATTTTTTCATCATGTATGGCAGTAAACTGCCATGGCCAGTACCACATGATCAATTAAGTAGAATGTGCAAATATCAACGAGAGAGACAGTAAGAAAGATTGGAGGCTTATCTGGACAGTAAGCATGTTAGAAATACCTATATAAATTACCAGTACTCCTTTTAGAGCTATTTCTAACGCTTATCATCATGAGCTGCTATTGTCACAAATTTTGATTCTTCAGAAAATGCAGTAGGATTTAAGCTACAACACTCAATGACAGAATTCAATAGTACTTGCCAGGAGGTTAAGAGCTACACACTAAGATGAAGAGCAGGGCAAAATCAATTTGTTTCTTCAGTTGTTTAAGAGTTTTATCCTAATCATACCGCCTGAACCCAGCAATAAGTCAATTTGCTTTCCAAAAATCAATTATCATGTTTGCTCTTTGCTCTAAAGTACTGAGAGTTATAAAATCCAATATTCACAACCACATGTTAAACATTCATGCATCATACTTCTATTAGCTTGCTTTTAAAATTTGTTTGTAAACACAGAAAGTCATGTGCAAATATGAGTTTGCTACAGAGGTGGCAAATATGAGTTCCTACAAAGGTACAATGTAAGTTGGAAAAAAGGGCAACAAGGTTGTTGAAATTATGGTTAGGAAAACAGTAACTGACAAAAGTTACAGTTCAATTTCTTTGGACTGACTATCAAACTGAAAATACAGGTTTTGCATGCTCTTTCCGAAACTTCCCTTTACCCAATTTTCTACAGCATTTCAGATTTCACACAGTCTTCTAACTTAGTTCAAAACATTTACTATACCCAGTGAAGCAAAAGCAGCAATGGCTCTCCCTTACAGACATTGTTTTAAATAATAGAATGTTTTGAATGTGCAATTCTTTAACCAAAGGTCTCTAACACAGTGCCTGTGAACACTTGTGCCTGGCAAGCTCCCTGGCCCTCCTGACTTTTAAGGTTTTTTATTAAGATGCTCCTTAATTATTTATCTTTTAAATGGGAGACTAGCATGATGCAAAGTTAAGGGCTCCAGTTCCATCTTTATTTGGGTTGAAAAAAGTATTCTACCTTTGCCTGATAATTAAGTTCTTGGAAAAGTTACTTTTAGTCTCACCAGTCTGTCTTCTGCAGAAGTGTTTGTGGGAAGCCATGTCCAGAATGGCAGGCACTTTAAGACGGGCAAGCCACACACTCAGGCAGCCATTTTCTGACAATGCCCATTACCCTTTCTCAAAAATCAAAATGTGTACACCAATCCAAACATGTTTGGGACCTCTGCTTTAGCTTTGAATCAATGTATCAAATTCCTCTAGCCCCTCCTTCAGATTTTCTACCATCCCAATTCTTCAACATTCTTTCTGAACAGTGACATCCAAATATACAATATTTCCACTGAGTGCACTAGCACTAGTGTGGAGCTAAGCATGATCAGCACTCTGTCCCTTATTGCTTTTCTAGGACACATGAAACTTCCCAAAATGCATATACCTTTATTAGACTAACTCAAAGGACACAAAATAGTATGCAAGCTTTTCAGTCCTCCAGAACCTTTCATCAGGGAGATGGTAAACAAAGCAAAAGGCTGAGGTGCAGGAGAGGGCGAAAAAAGTCTGACACCCTTAGTGCCTGGTTGAGCCTATTTCTAGAGAATTCTAAAGCTTGCACACCATTTTTAAACCTCTGTGTTGGTCTTTAAAAAGCATTACCCCAAAATATGGATTTTGGCGTTTTTCTTATGGCAAACATTATACATGACATTTTAATCATCCTTCAATATTGACTTGACGACCTTGACAGTATTAAGGAAGTTCATTAAAAATATTTGAGACAGTTGCAAAAATTTTACTAGATGTGCAGGTTTTGCAATTGAAGAAGTGCATCCTCCCTCTTAAGTTTTATACAAGATGGTTACTTCCTTTTTGCTGACCCAAATTTACAAATTTAGTTGCTCAAAGCTAACTTCTATTTAACTACTTTCTTGCCCTAAGAGATACACCCTTTTTTCTGGAAAGGCAACATTTTTCACAGTTAAGAGTTACAATTTATGAAAAACCATAGCATAACAGAAAAACCAGACTAGTACGTAGATTCACTACATACGAATAGTGGAAGGCAAGAAACAGCTTCCTAAGAAGGATAGTATTTATTATTTCCTACACATAGCCCCACCCAAAGCTAGTATCTTAAGAGAACAGGAAGATGATAAAACACTAGGATGGCGCAAGATTCATTTAGCTCCTTAACAAACTAATTGTCTAAATCCAGGAGTAATTGAGCTTTAGAAACAATCTGCATGGAAGCCACATACTTTAAGAGAAACGGCATTAAACAGGATAAAGCCTCATCTTTTACATCTGGCCCTCCATGAGCCCATGACAGCGCTATTATTCAACTGCACATTATAAGGATAAGACATTAAAAAGCAAAGGCTATTTTTGCCACCTTCTGGAAACGTGAGGGAAGGAGGCGATCATGTGTACTAATTGTCCCCCAGAGGAAAAAAGGGAGATGTTGCCACAACAGCCTCAAACTTATGTTATGCTTGTAGAAACTCCACGCGCTGCCCCTGCACCGTCCACTTCAGGGTCTCACCTCGCTCGGGGTCAGCACCCCGCTCCCCTCCGCCACCCCAACACCTCACTGGCCCAGAGGCTGCCGAAAAGTACCCACAAGTCGCCTCGTCTTCCCCTCCCCATCTCACCAAATGTATTCTTATCAAGGGAAACGAAAAAGTCCCTTCAGTTTTTTTCAAAAAATTCTTAAATCTTTTATCAAAGGGGGGAGGGAATAAGAGATGCCCCACAGCGTTAAACGAAGCCGGGGCCCGGGCAGCATGGCTCACCCTGCCGCACCCCGCCCTCGAGGCACTTCGGAAGAGTACCTGGCACTCGCCGCCCAGCCTCTCCAGCGGTCTCCACCCCGTTCCCCTTCATCTCCGCCAAAGGAAGCGAGGCCCCACCAAGGGGCCGCCCCACCTCCCGCCCGCCCTCCCTCCCTCAGGAAGCGGCTCGCATTCAATCCCGTCCTCCCCTCCGCGGAGAGCTCCCCCCACCGCACCCGGCCAACGGCCACCCGCGGCACTACCGCCTCCGTGGGGCTCCGGGCCCGGCGGGCGGCCTCTGCTTCTGCCCCCGCCAGCACCTTAGTCCTGCAGCAGCGGCCGCGCGCGCACCACGGCGAGTTCCTCCGCTCGCCCCGGGGTGACGGCGAGGATGGCGGCGGCGACGACTCGCGCTGACCGGCCCTTCCCCTCACTACCGAACTCCCTCCCCCCGAAGCCGGCTGGCCCCGCCCGCCCAGAAGCCTCCCCTTCCTCCCGGCTTATTCCTTACTTGCCGCCTGCCGGTGCCGCGACTGCCGCTTTGCCCAACAGTAGTCTTGAAAAAAGAAAGGGAGGGGGAGGAGAAGAAGCCTGCTATTGGCGGCCGCCCAATCCCAGACGGCACCACCACCATAGGCTCTCGCGCACGCCACTCTCCCGCGCGCAAGCTGCCGCTGAGTGGTCCAGGGTCGCGGAGGGGCGGGGCCGCGCGCCCATTCATCTGTGGGCGGGGCCTCGTCTCCTCTCAGTTGCGGAGCCCGCTTGGCCAATGGAGGGGGAGGAAGCGAGCGGAGCGCCTTGCCGGGCCTCCCCTCGCCCGCAGCCGGCGCGAGGAATCTCCAGGCTAAGGGCGGACGAGGCACGCGCTCTGCACAGCAGTCCAAGTGGCCCCGCACTGCCATGTTCCCTGAGCAGGCGGCGTTGCAGCCAGCCTGGGAGCTGGCGGGAGAGGAGCCCCAGGTCGCCGCGGCAACTTATGGCGTCCCCGCCCGGAAAAGAGCCTCTCGCGAAGCGGAAGGCCCGGGTGGTGGGACCGTGGGCTGTCTCCCTTTCCCCGCTGTCTCCGCCCGCGCGCCCTTCCCGCTAAACCCCAAAGCTCCCCCAAGTGCCTGGCTGGAGGGAAGAGGCGAGGAATTCCGTTTCCCGAAGTTCCAGTCCGTGAGCATTGGCTGTGAACCTCGGTAGCAGGTCGCCGTTCCTGTGATGAGGAGCGTGGTCCTTAATCGCACACGTAGAGCTCTTTTCGTAATAGTTGCTTAATCGGAAGTTTGGCTTGCAGTGTTCCATCGCTTGCAGACAAACCTGGAATGATATTAAGGCTGAGTCTTGGGGCAACGAAAGGAGAACCCTGTTTGAGTTATTGTTCAAATGACAGCAAATATAAATAAAAAATAAGAGATGAACCACACCGTAAAACGAAAACAGGGAAATAGGAGGCCAGAGAATATTGCTTATCCTGCCGCAACCCCTCTTCAGGACACTTCAGAAGAGTACCTCCCACTCACTGTAGATACGTAATATTCCCCAACAAAAACTAATACTTCAGAAGAGTACCTGCCATCCTCGGTAGGGGTGGGGTAATGTTTCCCAATTACAACTAACAAAATATTGAGCTGCTTGACTAAAAGGGCATTCTGTGTGTTCAAACTTAAGTGTTGGTTGGTTGGAATGTATAGCTATCAGATGATCTCATAAGATAGTTCTGTAGCCTGCGTTAATAAATGAGCATTGCTTGTGCCCCTAATTTGCATTGATGGATTGCACAAAAACTTACTGCAACTTTTTCCCATGTGGAATGGCTCGGTGTTGTTAAAACCTGGCAACCCAGCCATGGCATAATTATCACCTTGGGAAAATTTTCTGGGTCATACAGATATTGGCTACTAAATCTGTTCCAGAGATGATGACAAAATTAAAGATGTGTCAGTAAAAGCTATTTGGGGAGATTGATTTAGCCTTAGCAAACACCTGAAGCTGCTTTTTCCTGCCCATTCTTCACTTAGAATTGTCCCCTAATGAAGTCCCTTAAGCATCTGGGCATCTTTATGCATTTTTGTTGCAGATAGCTGTCCCTGGTTTGCAGGTCTTTGAGTTGCTTCAACAACCTAATAATCTCTCTGATCAGGGGTGGCAGTGGAACAAAATATGTGTGTGTGTTAATGGTACTTGCACCGTATTGCTATCATTCGCTTTGAGAACTATTATCACTCAAACTATTATCACTCTCCACCCTTAAAACAGGTCTAAGCTCCATACTGTTTTCCAGCAAAAGGCAAAACAAACTGCTATACAAATAATGTAATCTGCTTTCAGTACCCAGATTAGAATACCAGTAGAGCAAGGTATGCTTTCAGGCATTGCTATACATTCTGTTCAGAAACGTTTAGGTGCAGTCCTATGCAGCTTCTAGAATGCAGGAAGTGGTAAGGTTCGTTGGTTTGTTTATCTAAACATAGAATTGTGCCCTTACTTCATTGTTGCTTTGGACATTTGTACCCAAGCAAAAAATTTATGTGATTTAAAAGCATGGCAAAAATGACAAACAACTTATTAGTCAACTAACAACAGAATTTTACCTGTTTTATGTCCTGTATGATCAATGAACTTCATAAAATTCTACCTGAGTAATTATCACAACTCTGAACTATTAAGTTTTCTCACTTATTTATATATTCAATTTACAAAGAACTCAAAGTGGCTTGTATAATTCTCCTGCTGCTGCTCATGGGCAAAGAGCTTTATTTAACTAATGCAGGGATGGAGCACTTTGAACCTGGGGCCTAAAGCCAGCTCTGCTAGGGGCCCACCTTCAGGGTTCCTCAGGTACCTGTGCCTCTTCCCTGGGCACTTCCCAGGCTCCCAACCACCAATCCTGTGGGAGGTTTCTTACTTTTGTGTAGATTCCCCCTACCCCAATTCTCAAAGCTAAAATGCTTCTCCCAAAGTCTAGTTTCTGACAGTAAGAACATTGATCTACAAAATCTGTATGGCCACACCCCATTCCCCTTGTCCTTACAATGAGGTGCCAAGAGCTTCTCTGGAATTGAGTTCACCCCCAAGGCTGAAATGTGCCTCACTCTTGAACTATGGAAACCCAAAGTACACCCTACAGCAACCTTGTAAGATCAGGGCATTTGAAGGGTATCAGGATGAGGGATGGGCCCTACGTAGCCCTAGTGGCCTGAGTAAGACAAAATGGCCAGGTTTGCAGGATATGTCCTGGCTCACACAACATTTATTCGACCCACAACAAGGAGCGGCACCTGCAGGCACCATTTTCATATTCAACCCCCAAGGATATGTTGTCATTTGTGCAAGCCTGGCCATTGTGGGTTGTGTGAGAGCTAAACACAGCCTGGTCTGTTGAATATGGAAGCCTCACTGATGGTTAGAAAATGCACAGTTGGCTGTTATTTTGTGCAAACTGGCCTCACTGTGGGTCTTGCTGCAGGATGAACTGCACATGATTGCTAGAGAACTATTCTTAGAATTCTTATTTTCATGAGTGACTGGTGTTTTACATCATGTATAATGATGCATTTGAACCAGATATAGTTTTATCTGTCATTGCCTGCATGTCTTATTTTAACTTATTTGTACTAAACAAAAAAGCAATCCCTCAACTTGACACCCTCCAGAGGCACTGGGCTACAAATGGTAAAAGGTCACTGTAGAGTGTACTTTAGATTACTGTCAATTCAAGGGTTATGCACTTTTCAGCATGAGGGCCAAATCTGGTTTCAGATTAGCCCCTGAGGGCTTCCTGCCAGTGG